ATTTGACTTGGTATCGGTATCTTGTAGTCCCACTGCAGCAGAGCTCAGACTGAGGGAGAAGCAGCACAAGACGCATGGTGATTAAAACATTAGTGAGATGAGCTTATCACTGCATGTAGCGGATGGTAAAATGTATGTAAACACAATTCATGAACTTCTCCTGTCTGCTCCCTTTTGGTCTGTTAAATATACCATTAAAAGTGTTTTTTAATATATCAGTTTAAGTAAAGAAATACCCGCTGATTCTGCCAGAAATCCTGTGAGCTGCTAACCCCTCCTTGTACACAGGAAGTTATGTCGATGAGGAGAAGGTAGGAGGGTTTGGGCATTGAGAAGAGGACTGTGTTCTGTGTAAACGATCAGAAATGAAGAAGGCAGGGCTGATACCATGTGATGCATCTGTGCTGAAATAGTCTCCAACAAAAACCAAGTGACGGGTGACAACACAGGAGCACAAATAGAGGAAGAAAATAGGAAAATTTAATTCCATACTTACCACAATTTTCCTTTCCTGTCTAGCTCCATGGCAGCACAGGGGGAGGAGGGCAGGATTAACCCATTTGTGAGCTGACAGGAAAAGGTATTTTCATGGCAGGATCACCAGCTATTATTTTACCCAGATACAGATGGCTGAACTTAATCTTCTGCCACCTCCTACTCCTCCATATTAGGTTGTGTAGGAAGTAGGGGGTGGTACCAAACTTGACTTTCACAGGAAAAGTCAACTTATGTCTTGGGATTTACTAATCATTTTGTTTACAGTTTCACGGTCATATGTATTCTAACAGCACATGCTCAGGTTGAATCCCCCGCTCTGTGACAGGATGATTTTAGGCCTGGTTCACACCTGAACGTTTTGTAGCGCGTTCAACGCTCGACGAACGCTCTACAAAACGCTCAAACATCTAAATCCCATTGTATTCAATGGGTCTGGTTCACACCTTGCCGTATTTCCACCCGTCCAAACGCGATACAAAACGGCCTACGCCCAAAGAAGTACATGTACTTCTTTGGGGCGTTTTGGTCTCGCGTTTCCATTGGGATACAGCCAAGTAGCCCACGGAAACGGGCGTTTGTCGCGTGTTTTTTTTACCGCGATCTGCGGTAACGCACAACAAACGCGCATATTCAATACGCCTAGGTGGGAACCCAGCCTTAGCAATGCATGCATGTTTCATGTCCAGCTCCTACACCTTGATCTCACGTGACTGCCTCATTATGGGGACACCCCCTCATCCAAAGTCCATCATACTGCTGTGTGGAGACTGCAGCAAATCAATTGGGGATGCATCACATTTTTTTAGGGTAGGTTAAAAGTCACTTGTGGATTCTGACCTATGAACACAGAGATATCTCTCCATCTGCATTCAGCTTGAAAACAAAAAGGTATTTGATGATTTTGCACTACTGTACCAAAAGGTTTACTACTCTGACACCAAGATTTCTGACAGAAAGATGGAGGCTCCCATTGGTGACTTCTCATTCTGCAAATGCTACTTGCCTAACTGCTGTGCTGATCCTCTGGCTTCAATACTTTAGAGTGGAACTGAACAACATGAAGATGTGCTATGTCTTAGGCAACATCCAAAAATGTTAACTGTGCCTAGGCAGTACACTCGCTTATTAAACAAGCCTGGGAGGAGGACCATTATACATACATGACAGGTTAGCAATACTAAAGGGTGAAGAGTTTGGAGAAGTGAACAATCTAGGACAAGGTGGCTGAACTGGAAAGTGAGCAAATCAGATATTTTGGCCTAGATTGTTCACTTCTCCAAACCTTTCACCCGTCAGTGAATAGAACTGTAGGTTTTACTTGCAGAAATGACTTGGCCAGTATGAGAATACTATGGTTCTGTATAGCTAGGAGGCTGGCACCTAACCAGGACAGAGCACTGGGAGGGCCTAAACGCTGGCCTCTAATTAAAAAAAAAAAAGTAACTCAAAAGGACAGCAAATGATTATTTTGTGCAAACACACTTTTCTTTATGATCTAGTATAATAGAAAAAGACCTGGTACATGTAGCTTTAGCAAATGAAGGATAAACATTACAGCAGACATACACTGTACATGTATTCTAGAAGAGCAAAGGAGGTTCTGACAGCTCTACAGTATATACAATCTCAATGCCCACCTCTTCTTATACAATGAAGGACGGCTTTTAAAGGAAAACTCCAGGAAATGCATTTCAGACAGAGGTAAATGTTCGATTTATAATTACTATCCTAATGACCTTCAGATCTGCACCATCAAAGTCCTCCTGGTCCCCTTCCCATCTTTTATACATTTGGAACATTAACGCATGAGCTGTGTGGTGCCCTTAAAGTACAACCGAAGGCAAAACTTCTTGTTTAGATTTGGAGTGGTGAGGGGTTGGAACTAGGAATGCAACAAAACGGATACTAGTAGCGGTGCCGAGTATTTCCAAATGCTCCGATGCCTAGCCCGACACTTGAGCTTCCGGTATCAGGAAGCCGGGCAGCGCATCATTACACGGTGCCCAGCTTCCTGATTGGCCAGGAAGCCATCTCCATGCTCCCCCGTCACTTGTGAATGACGTGCAGCTGGGTTCCTGATTGCGATTTATTACATGCCCCCCAGTTTTCTAATGGGCCAGAAATCTGGCTCCATGCTTTCTCGTCACCTGGTGAAGAGGAAGCATGGAGACGGCTTCCCTGCTAATCAGGAAGTCAGGTGGCGAGTCATTACACGCCACCTGGCTTCCTTAATGGTACTTCCGGTATCGACAAGTACCAGAAAAAAAATAATATCAGTACTCTAACTGGATACAGAAAAAACGGTATCGGTGCATCCCCAGTTAGAACCCACCTGCGTTCTGTTAGGAAGATTCACTCTCTCTAATGGTCCCAATCACCAATGTCACCGGGAAAAACAGCGAGATTACATCTACAAATCTGAGTTGCCACCACAACTGGAAAAAAAGGGCAAAATCTTTGAATGCTGGACAACCGCTCCCATGACAACTGTCTAAGAGGAGATCTCCCTCACATGGAAAACATCCTCTCACTTTCTGCTGAGCCTACAGGACAGGAAGTGAAATAAGAGACAGATGGCACCCCCCCCCCCCCTTCCTTATGCTATCCAAATAAAAATATTTTGGCTTTAGATATATTTTATTTCCAAATGGCACCCCAGCACAATGTTACAGTAGCGTGCAATGCACCCACACTGCATTGGCGTACATGCGGTGGGCTGCATTACTTCAGCACACCTTAACACATGATGTGTTGGATTATTGCACTCGTCATGTGCATGGGCCCTGTGATCCTCTAGCTGTTACATCCTGTCATGGCTGAACAAGTTGTATAGACAGATCACTGAAATCACCTTCATTCCAGCACTTTAAAGTGGGCCGGTGCCCCATTTTGAACTTTTAGGGCCCCATTAACACTTGTGTGGTACACTAATTTAAGGCAGTCTAGTCTTTTCACATAGGCTAACAATGTTGTGTTTAAAATGCAGTACAGGTTCAAGTCAAAGCTGCAAGTTAGTAGACATGGGTGTCCTATACTCAATCCTTCCATGACTCAAACCTACCTCCCCACGGCCGTCATTTTTTGTATTTTCAAGGTGCATACTTTGTGGTGTCAGCAATTTTGTACATGGTAATGTCACAAAATTCAACCATTGTCACTGGTCCATAATGAATTCACAGGCCAAGTCTTCCCTTTTTAGCCACAATGATGTCAGAAGAGGCTGGTCTACTCTGAGTGTGTCTTCTACCCAAGCAACATGACTTCTTTTTCATGAACACAACACTGGTATAGTCTACAATGGCTGTCCGTGGTGTGCCAAGGCAATGAGTCCACAGTAAGATATTGTAATATATAATCTTTGTTACCTATCCAATGTGCCAACACCGTGTGAAATGTCCTTCTGGTTGTCCACAGCAACCAATTCTATTCTTTCTTACATGTTCTACAATCTGTACTAGTCAAATGACCTCTGGACTATGAGTAGCTGCTAAAGTCATGAAAGATAGTTTTCTTTAAGACATTTTGCACTGGAGGCCCCATATTGGTCAAACGTTTCATTAGGAACGGCTAAAAATTGATCTAAAATGGAGTAAATCCTGATTGGATGAGCTGCATTCTGAGGTTTTAAATACATGGATGAGTATGCATGACAGATACACATAAAGAATAGGTGTACTAGAGAGACAGAGGTTGCCATTGCTGACCGCTCCTCCTCAAAATGCTAGCAACCTGGCTGTGATCCTAGCACTCAGGTAAGGACCTCCGACCTTCACGATTTTTTTCCAGGTCTCTGAGTCAAAGTAGTAAAGCCAGTGAGCACAACAGCCAGCAAGGTCAGCAATGCCAGTATGTATTTTTTACATGACAGGTGTAAGTTAAATATACCCAAAAACTTCACATATCATGTAGGGTTTATATCCTTTCTGAATACAAAAACAAACATGGTTAGAAAACAGCAACGTAAATCGGTTTCCTTGGCATTATACTGCAGTGCAAACAGCAAAGCTGGCAGATCGCAGGAGCCAGATATCTCCAGGAATAAGCAAATGCAAATAGTCCGGCTTCCAAGAAAGTGGATCCCATGCACCGGTTTAACCATGCTGGGCGTCATTTATCAGTGATTTCCAGGGAAGAATTGGCTCAGAGCTTCTGTGTTACCCATAGCAGCTAGATTCTGCCTCTCAATGCATGGGAGAAAGGAAGGAAGGGAGAAAAGGAAGGAAGGGAGAAAAAGGAAGGAAGGGAGAAAAGGAAGGAAGGGAGAAAAGGAAGGAAGGGAGAAAAGGAAGGAAGGGAGAAAAGGAAGGAAGGGAGAAAAGGAAGGAAGGGAGAAAAGGAAGGAAGGGAGAAAAGGAAGGAAGGGAGAAAAGGAAGGAAGGGAGAAAAGGAAGGAAGGGAGAAAAGGAAGGAAGGGAGAAAAGGAAGGAAGGGAGAAAAGGAAGGAAGGGAGAAAAGGAAGGAAGGGAGAAAGGAAGGAAGGAAGGGAGAATCCGATTGCAAAGGACGACACAGATTGCCCTCCACTCAGACATGTTGATTAGAAGCCCAGTGAGTGTAATACTGTTTCATGATAGCAATTTGCAGCTTCTGGTAGAAGTGAAGGCAGCTGTTGGCCAGTGGCACTAGTGAGGTGGTTATTGCAGAGCTGGAAGCTGAGGACAGCCCTGATCTAGGCTGTAGGTCTTGGCCTTTATGAGGAGGATGATGATGAGGATGGGAGGAACTTTCTGGCCACTTTGTAGTGATCAGGTGACTCTGAGCTGTGTCTCTGTAGGAGTCCTATTGCTTGGGCCTTTAATTCAGAGGTCAACTCAGAAGGGAAGTGAAGTAGCACCAGACAGCTCTCCAGTACATCTGGAAATGGCAAGACCTGTGAAGGAAAAGATGGCAACTGTAACACAAAACTCACACTGAGCCTGAAAATAAAAGCAGTTAATACTGATTGTTGAAGCTTATCTACACCCAAGAACAAAAATGTCACATATTGCAGCTTACCATCCCTTAGATGTGGTGGTTGCATTAACACTTCCTGTTGTAGGGTGACAACGGTCACTCAAGTACCATATGTACAGTATACAGTTGCAGTGTTATCTTGTACGGGATGTATGTAAGGACTACAGAATAGAACACCTCTCCCTCTCCTTATCTCTGAAAACTTCCTGTGCTCTCTGCTGATTTAGCGCTATTCCCAGCTATCTGTGAACTACTACAACCCATGTGATGCAGGGGAGGAGATAGGGGGTGTTCTGTAGGCCCACCTTAGAGTGAGAACACTTCTCATCCTCAGATACAGTATGGTGAGTAATTTCATCCTAGGAGAGGAAGTAAATGAATGGCAGGGACACCAGATGAAAATAAAGTTTTTCCTAGAGAAAAAAAACAATCTTACATATGTAGCCACCTGATCTGGGGACTTTTAAAAGGAGAACTATAAAGTTTCCTAAGGGTCACGGGAGAACACAAACTAGCGTTGTCCCGTGACCCAAAGCTCAGTATACCGTGAGCCACAGCTACAGCCGGGACGGATCCCGACAATGCTGTCTGGATCCACCCAGCTGCGGGATTGACAGCTGGCTTTGCCTACCCAGAGGCAGTGCCAGCTGTGCCCGGCCGCTCCCCCGTCCGTTTCGCCAGTCAACGCTGGAGGATCGGACAGGGGAATCCCTGCAGGGAGCCGTGAGTGACAGTCACTGCTCTCTGCACGGATAGATCGAGAAGTGAGCGAGCGACGGTATGTGTTCGCTCACTTCCCGATCTACTGAGCCGACCTGTGACAGTCTCATTGTCACAGGTCGGCTCAGATTATGAGGCTGAGTGAAAATCACTCGCCTCATAATTCTCCTTTAAGCTGCAATAGATTTCCTTTTCTTCTTGGTTTTTATTTAGCTTTATTATAGTGACAGAGTCGCATTAAACTGTTCATTCACCAGTTCAGACTTTAAACATGCATGCTGTGCTACTTTTATGTAGCTGCACAGATCTTACCTTTAAATATTCTGGATATTCAGCTAACTTATGGTTTGCAGAGGAAAGTTTCTTCATCAGTTCAGCCAGGGTGACTGGACTTGGGGCAGAGCTGGGGGAACAGACAGTGATCAGTGATACAACTATCAATAACCCAGTACAACCATTAAAGTTATAAAAAGGATCAGAAGTATAGGCAGACGGTTTTTAAATCCGGGTATTCACATACCACCGTAAATCCGAATGTATCCATATTTAAGGTTCATCTATAGCCAAAAAATGTGTTAGTTTTGGAAAGTCAGTGTAAGAAATGGTTAAAACAGATGTCAGTTTTGTTTGCCGTCTTTGTCCCACAGGGGAGATTCTCCGCCACAACAGAAAGCGAGTAGAAATCTCTTCCAAGTAAGCAGAAATCCCCTCTTGGCAGTTGTCACTGAAGCAGTTGTCTGATTTCTCCTCTCATGAATCAGTGACAAGGTTACATTTTGGATTTCCCATGACTTTCTGTCTGGGGGACAATGATCATCAGGACAAATAGAGAGGGTGAATATCCCCAGACGGCGATAGACAGCCTGACAAGAGTTCTAACACTTTGTTGCTCTACGCTGGTTCTGGCTGGAGATGGAGCTTGAGGATGGAGGATGGAGACATGCAAATCATTTCTTTTTGTCTCTCTTGGGCCTCTATAATTGCCAGTTTACACTACAGACATGGCATTATAAAGGAACCACTTGCCAATCTCATATATAGCTCTTTTGACCCCATACTATGCGGAAGGGTTTGCGGAGCAACAAGACAGTGCAACCTTTATGTTTATGACCCAGAAAGCAAGAAAAAAAGCTTTGACCTCACTAGGAGTTCTGGGTGTTCGGTTGGTCACAGAGGCAGAAAAGAAAAATCTGCCTGTGTATAGATCTTAAATGAGGTATAAGGCCCCTTTCACACGACCTCTCCGATTGGGTCCGTCTGTCAGTTTTTTAGGCCGGCCCCATCGGATGCCCAATGTAAGTCTATGGATGGGTGTCCATTTACGCCCAGTTACCCCTGACTCCAGCCGGGTCCAGAAAAACAAACAGAGATCCATTTCCCCGGACCGGATCGTGCCGGATCGCGGGGTAATCAGATGTTAATGGACACGTTTGTTTACATCCGATTCCCCATAGACTGGCATGGGGTCTGGTAATTGCAGCTTTTTCCTCCATCGCAAGATGGAGGAAAAAAAAAAACGTACGGACACGGAAGTCACAGCAGTGACATCCGCTTTGTACTGCTGTGATCAGGACAGGATCTGTGCACGAATCCCTTCCTGATCAGCCCACGTGAAAGGGTCCCAATTCTTTCCAGTTTTGTGATTGGAATACATGTGAATACATTGCTAGTGGCACTGTGGTATATATCATATTTGTTGTTGAAATATATTAATCTGCCTTCTTTGAGGAGCCTCAGAAGAGTGAATAGTGAGAAATTGCTTCCTGGTTTCATCCTCACAGTCACTGAGGTCTCCTGTAACTTCACTATGCATGTCTGGTCATCAAATATTACATGGCCAGAGCAGCAGGAACTCTATGTTCCCTTCAAACTGGCATAGAGCTTTGCTGAGCACTGAAATGTATTTACGCATTTCACAGCTGAGGGCGCAACAAAGATCATATGCTGATTTAATGTAAGGTCTGTGCTTTTTGATGCCCACCAATAATAAAGAAGGCCTCTACTCACATCTGGCTCCTGCTGTCGAGCCCTTTCTCTGGAGATGGGACTGAGGATGTGTCAGGGTCTTGTTCTAGCTCCAGAGAGTTATCTTGGATCTGCTGGCTCCTCTGATGCTGCTGTATCATCTCTCGCAGGGCACTTTGAACATCTGCAATTTCCCGCTGCGCATTCTGGAAGCCAGCGTGCAGTTCTGAAAATAGCACCCTGAAATTAGACATGTTTTCTGGAATGTCCTTTCCGGTCCCTGAGACGTCCTCCTCTACTCCAACACAGGTCTCTATGTTGGTCTCCTGTGATGTCCGGCCTATGTTCCAACTCCACCATAGCTCATACAGCTTCATATAAGCCAAGTACGCCTGGAGACTGTCACAAGCAGCAGAACTGTGTTTGTTGTCTGGATTGAGGTTACTCCTTAGCTCCTCACAGCCTGAATAATGAAAAAAAGAAAACAGAATATTCTAGGTGTTAGGACTGGCATTGTCAAGGCCTAAAGGTGAACTCCACACAAATCTGTCCAATCAGTATGGTTGGGGCCCAAGAAAAACCTGGATGACAAAGGCAACTGTATAGAAAGTCTAGTGAGCTTCCTTTCAGTAATGAAAATGTCCACCGTGTGCTGCTCTGTACTGAACCACCATTGTATGCTTCTCAGAACAAGTGGCTAAGTATTGATATATGAAGCTGACCGCTCTGTGGTTACTGATATATAATGCTGATCTCTCTGTGGTTACCGATATATAATGCTGATCTCTCTGTGGGACTGATATATAATGCTGATCTCTCTGTGGTAACTCAGTTTTGTGATTGGAATACATGTGAATACATTGCTAGTGGCACTGTGGTATATATCATATTTGTTGTTGAAATATATTAATCTGCCTTCTTTGAGGAGCCTCAGAAGAGTGAATAGTGAGAAATTGCTTCCTGGTTTCATCCTCACAGTCACTGAGGTCTCCTGTAACTTCACTATGCATGTCTGGTCATCAAATATTACATGGCCAGAGCAGCAGGAACTCTATGTTCCCTTCAAACTGGCATAGAGCTTTGCTGAGCACTGAAATGTATTTACGCATTTCACAGCTGAGGGCGCAACAAAGATCATATGCTGATTTAATGTAAGGTCTGTGCTTTTTGATGCCCACCAATAATAAAGAAGGCCTCTACTCACATCTGGCTCCTGCTGTCGAGCCCTTTCTCTGGAGATGGGACTGAGGATGTGTCAGGGTCTTGTTCTAGCTCCAGAGAGTTATCTTGGATCTGCTGGCTCCTCTGATGCTGCTGTATCATCTCTCGCAGGGCACTTTGAACATCTGCAATTTCCCGCTGCGCATTCTGGAAGCCAGCGTGCAGTTCTGAAAATAGCACCCTGAAATTAGACATGTTTTCTGGAATGTCCTTTCCGGTCCCTGAGACGTCCTCCTCTACTCCAACACAGGTCTCTATGTTGGTCTCCTGTGATGTCCGGCCTATGTTCCAACTCCACCATAGCTCATACAGCTTCATATAAGCCAAGTACGCCTGGAGACTGTCACAAGCAGCAGAACTGTGTTTGTTGTCTGGATTGAGGTTACTCCTTAGCTCCTCACAGCCTGAATAATGAAAAAAAGAAAACAGAATATTCTAGGTGTTAGGACTGGCATTGTCAAGGCCTAAAGGTGAACTCCACACAAATCTGTCCAATCAGTATGGTTGGGGCCCAAGAAAAACCTGGATGACAAAGGCAACTGTATAGAAAGTCTAGTGAGCTTCCTTTCAGTAATGAAAATGTCCACCGTGTGCTGCTCTGTACTGAACCACCATTGTATGCTTCTCAGAACAAGTGGCTAAGTATTGATATATGAAGCTGACCGCTCTGTGGTTACTGATATATAATGCTGATCTCTCTGTGGTAACTAATATATATTGCTGATCTCTCTGTGGTTACTGATATATAATGCTGATCTCTCTGTGGTTACTGATATATGAAGCTGACCGCTCTGTGGTTACTGATATATAATGCTGATCTCTCTGTGGTAACTAATATATAATGCTGATCTCTCTCTGGAAACTGATATATAATGCTGATCTCTCTGTGGTTACCGATATATAATGCTGATCTCTCTGTGGGACTGATATATAATGCTGATCTCTCTGTGGTAACTGATATATGCTGATCTCTCTGTGGCTACTGATATATAATGCTGATCTCTCTCTGGAAACTGATATATAATGCTGATCTCTCTGTGGTTACTGATTTACAATACTGAACTCTCTGTGGTTACTGATATATAATGCTGAACTCTCTGTGGTTACTGATATATAATGCTGATCTCTGTGGTTACTGATATATAATGCTGATCTCTCTGTGGCTACTGATATATAATGCTGATCTCTCTGTGGTAACTGATATATAAAGCTGAACTCTCTGAGGTTAATTTATTGAAACATAATGCTGAACTCTCTGTGGTTAACTTATTGATATGTAAAGCTAAACTCTCTGTGGTTGAACTCATGGTAAATTATGGATCACAATCTCAGCATGAGTTGAACATCCCGTTTCCTGGCCCTTACCATGTGGAAGCAGCAGTCGAGCAATGTCTTGCATTAAAGTGAAGTGTCCAGCTTGCTGACATCTGTAGAGGCTGCGAAGTAAGGCAGGTGCAGCCTCATCACAGTTCTTCAGGAGGTAACTGAGAGCAGACAATGCCACCTCCTGCGAGATGTGGTGGAGCAGCTGAATGGGTGAAAACAGGAAAAGATCAGCAACGATACTTATTGAATGGAAACTTCTTTACAGCTTTAAGAATTCTTTCCATCTAATTTTATGAGCATTGACTGGCTTGCAACAATTTCATCACTGGACATCCTAGAGAAGACCTCTGCTTTAATGTGAAAGCTAGACAAATATTTAGTCAAACCAAATCATTTTAACGGTTTCTTCTTTTAAAGCAACTCCGTTACCCCAAACCCCCCCCCCCCCGATGGATAAGAAAAGCTAGTTTGCAGTCCAGAATCTGTAGTTTGTGTATGTTTGTCTGTTAATCTACATCTCAGTAACTGACCGCACATCTAACAGAGAGTGACGATCCAATGGCATTATGGCAGTAGGAGCTTTTTCCTGCTCTGGTATGACACAATGAAGTGCTGTATGGCCACATACACATGTATGACAGGCACGTATCACATGTGCCCGACTGTTAGAAGCACTGAGATACCCTCAACATCACTCCGTTCCATAAAGGAATTTGCATCAGGTTATATTAAATGCCTGTGTTAAAGTGCCATCTAAAAACAGTGCACAGTGCAGGATGCAGGCATTCAACACTCTCAGAAGTGTAATGGATGCTTAAGATACTCTGGCCAGCTTAGATTTGCAACGGAGTGAATATAGGCAGGATGGTTGCGGGGACCGTTAAGTAATAAAGCTCTATTTTTTTTACAGGGAGCATTAATAAAACAAATGAAGGTAGTGACACAGTCCCTTAAGCCCAGTTTTGTGCAGAATATGGGCTCCAGGGATGTTTGGGGATCTCTCCAGCTTCTCCAGAGTTGTCATAAATCTCTTGATTTCCTGAGGTTACCCTGATGCAATTTCCTTTATGTAACAGGAGTGATGTTGAGGGTATCTCAGTGCTTCTAATGCCCTTCTTACCTAGTCACTGAGTTTCGGTGGACAGCCTTCTCCAGGTAGAACTGCACCTGTGCTATATCTTTACATGATGGATTTAAAGCTGAACTCCAGACAGACATAAAAGGCACAAATCAAAGCAGCTGTTATACATTAAATGTATTTTTTTTGTTCAATGCAGCCAGTGTATGTATTCAAATTTGGCTTGGTATCAGCTTGTTGTAGTGTACTGTACAGCAGAACTCAGGGAGAAACAGCACCAGGAGCCAATCAAGTGTGCTACAGTACATCAAGGATTCTGATGGGAGGAGAAAGCAGACTGACCGAGATGAGCTTGCAGGTCTGCTGCATTCTCTTTTCACTGTCCAATCACAGTGTTTTGGTGGGGAAGAAACCTGTGAAAGTAAATCCTTTGGCAGATAAAACAACTCTCATATATGTATTGCATCTGTGTATTTAGCTATTTGCCTGAAGCTTGGCTTTATAAAGTATTTATCCCAGTACTCTTCTAGAGTCAGGATAAACAAAGCAATCAACAAAAGGTTTACTATACGTTGCGCCTATGCTTGAATACCGCTGCAAAATCAATCTAAATCTGACCTATGTCATCTAATACTACTTCGGCATAATCCAAGCATGACCATCATACTAAGGCTAGCTGAAACAAGCGGTCCATTACCTGTCTTGGGGTAGTATTAGCAGTACTTGGAGGGCTCTCAGATGAACACAGTTGCTGATAGGCCTCAGTGTACTGATCCGCTGTACACACTCCATACTCCTTCTGCCACACTCCTGTGAGTTTACTGATGAAAGTGTCCTCACTGTCACTGCCAGCCCAATTATGAAAACATGGGGTGGCCAGTGTCTTCCAATCTATGGCAGTCTTCTCAGCAATATGACTATACAGAAGTTCGTTGGTACACAGTAGCAGTCTCTGACCCTGTAAAACAAGTCATGTGTAAATATCTTCAAACTAAACAGTAACACTGTGAATGCGATGGTCTGATTTGGCAATAACTGCTGAAGTAAACACAGCCTCAGAGATATTTTATCATGGTAAGTATGGTAAGACCTCTTACAGAGATCACAGTACTCCCTCGAAAAATCCTTTCTCCCTAGAGGACCAGTACTATCTTTGTTCAGGAATTATCCAGGGTCACCATCTAGACCAATGAAATACATCCCAGAGCCTGAGCAGTAGTCTTCTGTTCTGGGATGTGTGTGAATGTGTTGTCTCTCACAGATCAGCCTCCTGATTTTGTCTCTATCTTGTAAACTGGCAGAAAATGACAACTTTACCACAGTCATCACTGGAGTAGAGGAGACTGAGGAAATGCATCCTCTTGCCTGCGGCAGATTCATGGCATCTACTCAGGGCTAGGCTCTCTCTGTGTATGAGTAGTGTTGGCTTTCCACCACATGTATCACTTTGTGCCGATGCCAGAAGGTTCCATTTCGGTCTTATATTGGAGAACTTACACATTTACCTTGTCTGCCAGACGGCTAATGACAAACTCCAGTTCAAGTTGTTTTTTCAGTAGTTGCCTCTTGTCCCTTTTATACAGTATAGGGTCCTTCTGGGTTGCCTGCTTTTATTTCAGCTGTGAATCCCCGCAGCTCCTTCAGAGTTGCCATCATTCTGATTGATCCCTATCCAACGAATGCCCTACTTATCTTGTTACTGGGTTTTGCTGGACAGGCTACAGCAGGGAGAACTACAATTGTGATACATTATTCGTAATAAATTTAAAGTTCATTTAAACCCCCCCCCCCTCCCTAGCCCCCCTAAACAAATGTAGCCTAGAACCAATACCTACCCACTTCTCTGAGGTGTTATCCCAAACTTTTCTGATAGCATTGTTGTCTCCCTGGTCAGACACACACTGGACGTTTAAGCTGGATCATGGTGTTGCTGTGCCCTAAAGGGCTATCTCCAAGCTCAAGATCTGAATGTATTTATTGCTATGAATGTCCCAGTTTGGGAGCTCATAGGGTTTAGCATTAGGCACCATACTTTGGAGAGGTGGACAGTGTGACCCAACATATGTTTGCATTTGTATACAGGAAATAATCTCTATTTTTTAAAGCAAATATTGGAAGCAGTTTAAGTAGAATTTCAGTGATAACTGGATGGATCAAGTCCTGGGGAATTTGTGTATAGTTTTAGGATTAATGAAACAGGCATATTGAACATAATAGATCTCTGGAGTCGTTTACCAGCAGGCTGGAATGAGGCTGCAGACACTGCTCGGCCCCAACCCAGTTCTTCACAGTGACATGTTCCTGTGCACAGCGCAGGGCGAAAGAGGCGGCAAGGTCCTTCTCTCCCACTAGTAACGCTAGTTCAGCTGCAGTGCTTAAAGACAACAGGTCTCCTTTCCTGGCCAGGACTTTAGCTGCATCATAGGGAGAGGATGCCCCTAAGTAACTGAAAGAGAAAAGGATGTCAAATAAAGTTTAAAAATAAGCCCTTGTTTAAAGGAACCACAATACAAAATGTAATAAATTAGTGTATGTAAAAGAGGTTTCCTTAGAAAAGTTTTAACAGTTGATCAAAAGAGAAGACATCTGAAATCGCAGTCATATTATTAAACATATAGTTACTTGTTCAGTAATCAAATGGAAACATTTTAAGTCAAACTCCTGCCTTTTTTATGCTTTGGATAGAGTTTGAAAGGACTGGAGCCTTGCTATCTGTGTACATATTAAAGGAGATCCCCCGTAACTTCCTATCAGGACAAGAAGTAATGGAGAAATCTCTCCTATGTAAAACAGACCAGAACCAAAAATAGAATTTTTGTACGGATTGTAAAATCCTTTTCTTGAAGTCCATTGAACAACACAGGAAATCTTCCATCTTTGGGTTATACTGCTGCCTACAGGAGGATTGGACAGTAGCCCCCCAAAAAAAAAAAAAAAAACAACCTGTAGGCCACCCCAGGATAATCCTACATGCCTCAGTTTTGTAGCAAGCCGTACTAAAAGCATGATCAGAACTTGAGTCTCTTGATGGGCTCTAAGTACAAAAATCCAATTTTTTCTTTGTCGTCCATTCAGGATCACAGGAAGTCTCATCTTCAGGACGTCCAACAGCAGACCAACGTGAACAAGAGAAACTGGAGACTGCTTGCAGCTCAATAGTTGCCTGAAGAACCAATGTACAAAGCTGACACCAGACAACAAGGTAAGTTAGTCTGGGGAACTATGGCTGAGGGCAGAAAATCAAGGGAAAACTCACAAGCCTAGTGAGGAGTGGCTCAACATGGGAGGCCAAAACACTGAACCACAGACCATAAACAAGCACATTTTAACTTATTCAACCAGAAGGGTGGAGCAAAAAAACAACTTCCTTACAGGGAAAGGAGTCACAGCCTGAACCATGGTCAGAAGGAGAATGAGCAACTCTAAGAACCAAGACGAGACAGAAGGATCTGAGAATGATGTCCTGGTAAAGGGAAAACCAGAGCAGTCAGGCCTTAAGCCTCAACTTCCCTCATCCCATAAAGCAGCAGTCACTAAATGGCAGACTGAGGTTCTGTCCTGACTGTGATTGTTGAATTGCGGCTGGGTTATGGCTGACTGACAAGGGATATGTTTCCATTGCCAACCATAACCCAGCGCAGGCCCTCCCTCTGCACAGTGATTGGTTGCTAGGACTGCTGGCTTACTAGCAACCAATAACATCAGGCAGGGGCTGACTGTACAGCCCTCCAGATCACTTGTACTAGTCCGCTGTGCTCCAAAAAATAGGTTGGGTGTTCAACCTCCTAGGACACTTGCAAAAATGTGAGGCACGCTGGTAGTAGGAGTTATCCTGGGCTGGCCTTCAGTTTTTGGTAGGTGGCAGTATAACATAAAGGTGAAACACTTCCTGCATCCCTCAATGGATGAGACAAAAGTCCTTTTTAGTGGATTAGAAATTCTAACAATTTTGCTGTCTGTGCCTTTCTATCCTGGTGACAATAGCTCCCTTCAATTTCTTCTATGGGTGTCAAAGGAACAGTAAAAGTGAGGGATCTCCCTAATGAGATCACAGACAGGAATAAGAACTGACAGAAATGTTTTAACTCTTCCCTATCCAATTGTTGAAGTGCAGAGGACTACCTGTTGATCAGTCAGAAATTCCTGTAGTGAGCCAACAACACTGCTTTTAAAAACCCAAAATAGTTTTATCAGCTCTGCCAGGTTCTTACCCTGCTGGACACCTCCCCTGTATTCATCTCCAAAACATAAAAGGGGATCTCTTATGTATTGAAAATGAGGAAAACTCAGACAGGGCACCATTTAGTGATCAAGGTGTCTACTAAATACACTGCACACACATCTCACCTAGTGAGAGGTGAATATTAAAAGGTTGCGTTACCTCGAGTGGTTTTTGTGTGAAAATTCATCTTGCATATTGCCGACTAGGGGGTGAGCTCAGAATTTATTCTTGAAGTCAAAGTTCTTCAAAGGAAAGTATTTTAACTGGTACTCTTAAGGCTGAGTTCACACCTAGACATATCGAATATGCGCGTTTTTACCGCGATTCGTGGTTAAAAAAAACGCGCGACCAACGCATGTTTCCAATGGCTACCTGGCTGTATCCCAATGGATATGTGCGGCAAATACTCCCCAAAGAAGCTCCTGTACTTCTTTGAGTGTAGGGCGTTTTGCAGCGCGTTCCTACGCGCTGTAAAATGACCAGGTGGGAACCATGCCCATAGGCAATCATTGGTTTTCGCATGTTGAGCGTTTTACAGAGCATAGGAACGCGCTGTAAAACGCCCAGGTGTGAACCAGGCCTAAGAGTTGTTTGTCTAAAAACTTGAACTACTCTATGAATGTTTTCTTTTTTTAACAGAGAGTGAAAATGTATACTGCATATTACCAAGTTATTAGGCTGTTAGTAATGTTTGACCCAAGCCTGGAGTTATTTGAAATCATTTTGGTATACTTCTAACGGTGTTTACATTTTTTAACAGGCTCTGGGGCTTTGTGCAAAATCCACCTACTCCCATATCCTATTAGCCAGAGTCAGATACTTGCCACTTGGCAGCCATGGCGTAGTGTCCATCATGCTCCAGCACTGCAGCCCAGCTGGTGTACAGCTCCCGGAGAATGGGGTCATCTGAAAGAAGGCGTGCTTTAGCTACAACAATGGCTTCCCTGAAATAAATAAGAAGGGGAATGAGGCTCTTTCAGCTTCTGTGCCAGGGATTAATGCAATTAAAATACAGAACACAATTTACTTCTGTTTGACGGACAGATGATACATATACTTTCGAGCTGCCAAGCATTTGGTCTGCTATGAAGGCCTTTATAGGAGATAAATAAGTTCACAAATATCTGCTGCCCAAACCCGTGTTTTAGGGGTTATTAATGATTGGACCAGCTTTTAAATGTTATGCTGGAAACCTTCAAAATGGAAGTGGAAAAAAACATCTTTGATTCAATAAAGGGTCCAGAAAAATCTAAGATGTTGCTGGCCCAAAGACTGACCTACTGAGAAGCAACACCAAGTATCAGGGTGGTTGAACTACAGCACAACTGAGAAAATAGTGATCTTTAGTCCATTTTATATACTAATCCATGAACAAAAACTAGAAGCACATGTGGGTGCCCCAAATCAACCCAGAACAGGACAACAAAAGGAGTTCTCTCTGTCAAAGTCACTCTTTGTCATTGTCATTTTGAATCCTAAAGGAAAGGCCACCATCAAGCTTAGGATCTACTATGAAACTTATTTTTAGCACACGTACCTGTAGAAATGGTTTCCTTTCAGCAGTTGAACGGCTTCATATACTTTGTTAATGGACAGCAGGTGGGAAGCAGCTTTTGTGTATTGTTCTTGGAAACACAGCTGCTTTACGTAAGATTCAACTGCCCAAACCCAAACCTTGTATCCAGCTAAAGAGAAAAAAAAAGCCATTAATCCAATGCATTCTTTTTTAAAGAAATGATACGAGGTATGTGAGGCTAGCTACCTATGGTGCACTGAAAATGATAAGACACTATAAATAAAAAGGAACTGTGTGCAAATGCAACTGCGGTCAGAAAAGATTCTAAGTGCATTTATTCTGACCTTCTTACCTACCCATGGGAGACAGCGCCACCAACTGGTCTGTGAGCTCTCTTCTCTCTGCAGCCAGTTGTAATGTCCCCTTTAGGTCCCCTTTCCACAACATGATGTGATGCTGAAGCTCAGGGTGTCCACTCTCCAAATGTGATTTTCCTATCAGCAAAACAATAAGAATGATTTTAAAATAATGAAGTGCACAGTTTAAATTGTTCTTAACGTATGTTCACGTACAGCGGATTGGTGGACTTATAATTCCCCACAACCATTTATTAGCGCCCCTGGAGAAATGGCCAGTAGGCAACAGTTCAGCTTACTAATCGCTGTGTACTGAGCGGTCCTTTACATTGCTGATCCTCCCCCTTCCTCTTAAAACAGAGGAACCAGAGGAATTTTGTCCCTCTGCGTATGACCTATACATTTAATCTACTCCATGTTTTAACCCCCTAAATATCAGCAATTAGTTCACAGTGGGTGGTCTGCTTTCCAAAAGGGCCAATCTGTGGGGTTTTCGTACCTTCCTTGTATTTTTATTTGATATGTTTTCTAACAGCAAATTGTTGCCATTTTTGTCTTTTTATGGTTAAAAAATGAAAACCCCATGGGTGCTTAAATACCTCTAAAAGAAATCTCTGTCTCAAAAAAAATGGTACAAAATTCATTTGGGTACAGTGTTGCGTGACCGAGTAATTGTCAGTCAAACTATCACAGCACTGAACACTGAAAAATTTCCAGGTAATGAAGGGGTATTACAGGCCAGTACTCAAGTGGTCCTTTGAGAGAACTCCACTCGTACTGTTCATGACATTTTTGTCTGTCTTAGTTAACAGGCAGCTGAGTGAGCCAAACCACAGGAAAGGGGTAATCCTGCTGAAGAAACCAAAGCTTGCGCTTCATTCTAATGACAACTTGACTGTAAAGAAAGCATCTAGGTGAAGACGCTCTGTAACAGACCTCTGGATAGATCATTACCTCAGCTGTAGAAATACTAGGATTTTTGTACTGTAAAATCTTTTTCTTGGTGTCCATTGAGGGACACTGTTGGGTATCGTTTTACTCGTTGTAACCTCATCTTTTATATTTCATTAAAAAAATGGGTAATTTGTTGTGTTTTGGGGCATTTAATTAAATTTGTCACTAAATTTTGGGGTTTAATAAGGAGTTGCGCTAATATTGCGCAACATAAAAATTTTCAACTACCACCATTTTATTCTATAGGGTCTTGGCATTCAGAAAATATATAATGTTGGGGGGTTTTACGTCATTTTCAGGCCTAAAATGTGGAATATAACATGGGTGCAAAAAATGAAAAAAGGGCCTCAGTCATAAAGGGGTTAAATACTGTTGGTTTATACTGCCACCTACAGGTGAACTGTACACTTGAAAACTAAAATACTGTAGACCAGCCCCATGATTTACCCCCCCTCTACCTCTAATGTGACAGTGAAAATGGACTCCACTTTCTTGGCCGTTGAAAGACACAGGAAATCAGATATTGTCAGGATGTCAACTAAGGGGTGGGCAAAAACCGCCAACAGACCTAAAGGAACATAACTGAGCACTGCCTGAAGCCCAAGAGCCACCCGAATGACCAATGTCTGAACCTTCATTGTGAGCCTGATGAAGGGGACCCTTTGAGGCCCCGAAAGCGTTTGCATTGAATGGCAATGTGTCATTAAATGGACTATTGCTAAACTACTATTTGGCGTGCTGGTGACTTTATTTCTTCATTTGAGTTATTCACGGTGCCATCTGCGGTCACTACAAGCACCCACCCGTCTACACAGGTCTCTTGGATGTTTTCCAGTAAGGAGTGCAGCAAGACCTCTGGTTCTTAATGTCTGAACCTGACACGAGAAGTGGCTGAGCACCCTACCTGATAGGGAAAACATGGCAAGGACAGGGAGGACAGAGAATCAACCTGATGCTCAAGACCAAGATAGAAAGGTCACTGCCAGAGGGAAGCGATGGAACAACAAATTCCAGTGTAGGGGGGAAAAAAAAGATCCACAACTTGATATGGTCAACAGAAATAGGGGACAACTCCTGGAAGAAATAGGTCCGGAGAAGAAACCTAGAACAAAACTGATCCAGGTAAGGATCAGTACCAGGTACTCCTAAGTTAGGCTTAAGAAAGGCCGATTGGTATAGTTGCTATGTAGAGACCAGCTCAGGCAGCAAGGAATCTTGATTGAAGCAGATGGAAAATCCACGGAAAAAGTAAAAGTGAAGAAAAAAAGGCTAGCAAAGACTGGTTAGAATTTTCTCTGCAGAGCTGAAGAAAGGACATCCACCCATCTAGGGCACCAGCAAAAAATGGCATGCTAGCTAGAGGAGGGGTTAAACTGGGGCTTACAACTTTCTGTTAGTTAGTGTTCAACCCTCATGTAGGCTGCAGTATAACCCGATCTGAAATCCTGTGTCCCTCAATGGATGAGAAACAAACATTAATTGGTCAAGAAAAAAAAAAAGCAGTTGTACAAACCCTCTTCTTCCATGAGTTGATGAAGAGTAGCTCGATCACTGTATAGACCGAGGTGCACAGAATCTTCCAGCAGTGTATGGGATCCATCGGCTAGAAGAAAAAAAAAAGAGCAATTAACATATGTAAGAATGAAAGAAAAAAGAAAATGTCTGATCTGAGAATGCCAGTATTCAATAGTGAATCAGAGAGTCACCAACGAGCCAAGCGTTAGCTTATATAAATATGCCTAATCATATGACTTTAGTTCTGGATAGATCGGGCAAGGGTTAGAACCTTACTCAGGTTTTTATTGTAGTGTCATTTTGTGCCTTCCTATGTCTTTTTCTGTCTGTGTTATTATTGCCATTTCCCTGTTCGGACACAGATAGCAATAAAAATACAGCATCACTACTTCTGATGACCATTATCATCTGGAAAGAAAAAGTGATTGAAAATTCTAAATGTTATGGCTGCCATTAGAACAGGAGTAGAAGGGAAATCTTAACATAAGTTAAACCTGTCCTAGTGACAACTTTCTAGGGTAGGACTTCCCTTGAATTTGGGTAGATTTCCACTCCACTGGGCTGACAGAAATTATAATGCTTCCAAACGCTAACCAAAGCAAAAAGAAAAATATTTTGGCTGGAGTTCTACCTCTGCCTCAACCTAACCCTATTAAAGTAATAATACTATTCAGATTCAATACAATCACATAACAAAAATGTTTCGGCCATAACACTATCACACTGAAATTGTTATGTGGTGGTAGTTTGAAACCTAGTGACAATGTGTCAAATATTCCACAACAAATGCCCCTTTCAAAAACTTCATACCCAGATGGGATTATCCATCTGCCCCGGAGTAGATTTGCTGGCCCCCTCCCCTGTACGTCTCTGGGCATTACTTCAAATATCCAATGGTTCTCTCTGACGTCACTCAGGAGTCCAAGTGACACACAGCACTGTACTGAAGGAGGATTTAAAAGCTGATTGGAGCTTATTGTTGTCTGCTCTCTAACAAAACAGAACTCTGTATATACATCTTGGCTTTCATACACAGGTTTCCAGGCTAGCATCAGAAACTCAGTGATTATCTGCCTACTGCCTGGAGTTCCTCTTTATTTCTATGGCGCTGACATTCTCTCACCTCCTTGGGCACAAACTGCTGCTGCCAGCTTCACACAATCCCTATGTTGTTCTTCCTTAGACCGGTGATCTTTGCTGGTACTAATAGGGAGGAGAGACTGAGACTTTTTCTTCCTCGCACGTGTGTCTGCTGAGGAAAAAACAAAGAGTGATCACAGTAATGCTTTAAAAAACCCAAGCAACATAAAACCAAACGGTATAAAGATTTACCCTACTGTTAAGAAATTGAGTTAATTTTACATATTACTGTGAGCAGAAATCTCTTCCAACCATGACAGATGCAGGGTAAAAATAACATCAATCCCCTGCAACGGGACTTTGCCTCTAAAAAAAACTAGTCTAGTGATGAAGGATGGTGCTGTGCACGGCTCCCGTATCAACCAGATACAGATGATAAAACTTTTAACTTTTTGAATTTTATGCCAAGTTTCCTCCCTCAACCTATATCCTTCCTGTATCTTTCCTATGAGACCTAAGACTCAATAGGATAGAAAACCGGATAAAAAAAAGAAAACTTGTATAGTGGCTTTGTATATTCTTCATGACTCTTTTTATTTATATTTTGTTCAGTAAGGTATAAAATTAATTTTGCATATGAAATTGTATTACTCTCATATGCAACCAGCAGATGCTCTGTTTGGAGTTCTGTTTCTAGAGCTCAAGCCAAAATGAACACACACTGGTCAATGAGCCTGAGAAGTAATGTATTCCCCACCCTTACACAAACTGGCTGCCAGGCAAATACAAATCAGTTGCTCAAGGTGAGGTCATAACCACATACCTACTTATCAATATGTACAGTATGTATCTTTCAGTTTTAGGTTGACACTTCTGAATGACCTGTCACCTTTAATATTTCCTGATAATTTCCCAGCAGTAGTTTCTGTACCCACCCCTGCCACAGGGCCAGAATGAAAGGGCCACTCTTAATAATGAGCCAGCAAGTGATTTAACTTGCCAATAAACACACAAAAACAGTTCAACATGAATTTACCAATTAAGGACAGTTTAATATTTCTTTACAGGGATAAACTGGGCTTAACAAAACTGTCCAGTGATTACTTTGTTTTCATCACACGTGCAGTGCAATCTATGCTGGTGTCTGGTATTATAACAGAGGCCCTTACCAGGCTTAACGGAAAGCCAGTTACTTTGTGACCATTATAGGCCTCTTGTCATGACCAGAAAGAGCCTATGTTATGACATATATGGCTAGATCATGCTATGGTCTGACATCTTCACACCTGACTGATTTTGCCAGGCTCTGGTAAGAACGATTTCTTAACAGGGGCATCAGAAGGGCTATTTAGTATATATCCTAACTGTATTATGAATTACCTGTCTTTTCTTTGAAATGCTCCTTCTTAACAGGCACTCTTTTTATGGTTGGACTCGGACTACGTCCCTCCACTGTGGGCAATGATGGTGGCAAATCTGGCACAGTGTCAGCCTCTGTTGTAGCTGTAACTATAAACAAAAGGATGTGTGAGATTACACGTAACAAATAAGAAATATTTTAGTTAAAAATTGGATTTCAGAGCATCTGGGTCTTTTCATTTGACAGAGCACACAAGGCATCAGAAGGACAGATGTGGGATGACTGCCAATGTTCCCTCTTCTACACACTAGGTGAGGATGACAGGAAATATTCAAAGGATGCACAACTAGGCTCTTCCTAAAGAGGCAACCTGTGGTCTGCATGGTGGGGGAAGACCCCTCTGTTAAAAGTGGAGATGTAGGAGGACTCACCATGAGAACAGATTAGGGAGGGAGGGAGCGGGGGGTATAGATTCCATCTTGTAACACACTTGGTGGCAACTAGGGATGTACCAATACTAGTATTGGTGCGGATGCCAAGTATTTGGGCGAGTACCTAGCCCGATACTTGAGCTTCCAGTATCAGGAAGCCGGTTGTCGCATCATTACACAGAAGCTCAAGTATCGTGAGCATGGAGCCGGCTTCCCGGGCCAATCAGGAAACCAAGTGGCAAGTCATTACCCGGCACCCGGCTTCCTGATTGACCAGAAAGCCAGCTCCATGCTTTCTCGTCACCTAGTGGCGAGAAGCATGGAGACAACTTCCCTGCTAATCGGGAAGCCGGGTGGCGAGTCTTTACATGTAATTTCATGCATAATATATCCTGTCTTCCGTTACATCTCCTTTTTCTTATATCTCTGTGGCAAGATCGCCTTGTGTCTTCTGTTGATTTTTCTTTAAGCTTTGTAAACTGAAGAACTGCTTTCCTTGCATCTGTAGAAATTAGGAAGTGCTGCTGCGAACACGTTTGGGTGTCGTGAATCATATTTAGGACTTTGGTAGTGCTGTCCCTGGCTTTACAGTGAGGGACAAAATAACACTTGGTCTAAATTCAACAGCACAATTGACCTGTAGCTGGCACACTGGGAGAGGTCTTTGTTCTCTTTAGACATAACAGACACGTCTGCTCATAAGGAGTCCACAGAGATGTAATGGCCCTTCAGGATAGCGTTAAATACTCATAGGAAATTGGGAGCTAAGGCTTCTTTAAAACTTTTCTAGTATGCTAAGGAAAAGCTGTGTGGGCCTAGAGCTCTGCCAGCTTTTAAAGCAGCCAGTGCCAAGCCCAGCTCCTGCTAACAGGGGTTTTCAAGAGTGTTTTCCTCAGGTGTGATTATGGGCATACAGGATTAAATATTAGTTTGCAGTTCTACTTCCTGTAGAGGGATCGTTGAACAGGTTAAATGATAAAGTTTGTCACAGAAGTCTGAAAGTGGAAGCCATGTCTGCAGACTTTTTGGCTTTTATGCTTGTAGGGAAACTAAACAGGAAATGTAAGCATGTGTGGCTGGGTTTTAGGAGGGCCTTGGCCAGCATTTTGCCTGGTTTGTTACAGAATTCAAAAACATTTTCCTGCCTTTGACAATATTTTTTTTTCAATTTTAAAGAGTAAAATGGAATTGAGTTTTTCGCAGAGGAGTGAAAATCTAGAATCTACCCACTGCCGTCTGCTTGCAGCCACAGGAGAAGCGAATCCATTAGGGGAGAACTTGTTACCCCCACATTGTGCCCCATTGGGTGTAGTAGCAGGACAGGGGGCTCAGTAACTCGGACCTTGTGATTTTTTTTCAGGCTCAGCATTACTGAGCTGTGCATAGGATGGAGTGTCCAGTATGGTTACTTTAAAAGAATTAATGCTTACACAGCCCTACTACACAAGTCCATTTCTGTAAAGGCTTCTAGAAAAGGTTATTTGTTCATTGTTATACTGAAACACAAATTAAAACACATCACCCTGAATTATATTCCCCAATCAGCTAATTACTAAATAATGCATTCTATTATTTTATTCATGAGCAGCCCAACAAGCCTTAAGGGACTAAAACAAAAGAAAATATACAAGTAACATGAACAATCATTAAATGGACATCTGTAGACAATAAAACAGTAGTGACACGATCCCTGACATGAAAGATTTGTAAAACTTCCAGCCGAGCAACAGGTAATGTACATCGATTAACAGGCAGAAGTCAGCAGGGGTCCCAAGTACCTGGGGTGTTTTAAATCATTTACAAGTATGCATCATTTATGCGCTAGAAATCATCACAGAAAATCAGCAGCATTTTGACAGTTCATATACTTAAGTTTTTTTTTTACCCCACTAAATTATTTATATAAGGAAAGAGCATCATAAGACATCTCATTCATATGCAGAACAACATTTCCAAAACCGATCCTTAGTTACCCCCCAATCCTTTCTGTAAGTTCATCTGAGTTTCCTGCAAAGAAGGAAACCTGAACATGAGAATGAAGCCCTGTAGATTAGACTACGGAGCTTTCCTAAGGATCCGGCTCTCTAGCAAAGTGTATAAAACAATTAGAAGCCACATTTGATACACACCCTTTATCAAGAGACTTATGTGTCACCTATATCAAACCTCCTCCTTAAATGCCAGCAACTTTTTATGGATGTATTTAGCTTTCTTGGGGCATGTAAGCAGCTGTAAATAGAACAATCATGTTTTTCACTAACCTACAGAGAACATAGCAGCTGTATTACATAGTCCAACCAAACTTTGCAGCACCTCAGCCAAGGAGGAGGTTGTGAAGTCCTGACCATAAATATGCACATGAAGCTTTATGAAGCCAGTAGAGTTCTGTGGTCACTGGCAGCAGACATGAATCAGTATAGCAGCCCTAGAAGCAGCATGAGGACAGCACTCCTAAAGACCCGGGTGTACTCTTCCGGTTAGTGAAAACCTGACTGGTTGTCTTACAAAGTGGAACTCAACAACTCAATAACTGATATGTTATAGAGAAAATGTAGAAATATGGTGCCTAGGAGGTACCCTGGAAAATATACCTTTTGTCTATAATTCCTCCTGAAAAATAGCAGTGCAGTTCCCTGCTTTAATTTGTTTGCCTTAGCTATGAAGCTGTAGGTGCTCCACAGTAAACTATTTGGGGTGTCATTGCTTGTGGCTTCTCATATACAGCACTAGTAGCTGATGGTCTTCCTTTTCTATAAATGCTTCAGAGATAATTGGTTTGACCTGTCACATGGATATCAGAGATCTCCTATTAGTTTTGGAGGGCTGCTTTATGGGATGTCTTTGCAGGGCTAGTGCTACCATAAGACCGCGTGAGGGTGCTGGGGGGGAGGGGTAAAATGCGCCTTCGCCTGTGTAGGCCAAGAACCTTGCACCGGCCCTGTACAGGAGTGCCGTTTATCTGCAGGGTGACATAAAAGGCAAATATGGTGATGCTATTACTGTGCTGCTCACCACTGTTCTTGTTGGAGGCCCACTGCTGTTCTGCCTCTACCAAAGTGGCCTGATTCACACAGAGACATAGTGTAGAAAAAGGGAGTGTGAGTCAATAATGAGGACAGGTCAGCTGCAGGGAGGCCACATGTACTACTGTTGACTAGTCCTAAATCCTTTACCTGCCTTTTTTTTTCGCCACAGCTTCCAAAAATCATTTCCTCTATTGAGATGAGTGAAGTCCTAGTCACACCTGCAAGCCCATTGAAGTGGTATTGACAGGATAGGAATGTTTCTCTGGTAGTGGACATTTTGCCATGGCATCATTACCAAGAATGCTTTGTCTATATATGCAGTAACAGGCCAACCACAATGGCTTGTTATGTGACCAATTTACCATTCTGCATGTTACATAGTATTTGAGGTTGAATAAAGACACAGGTCCATCAAGTTCAACCCATTGTGTGTATGCATGTGACTCTGCATGTTTGGTAACTGCGTGTCTAATTACAATGTGCAATGTTTACGCCATGTTTTTACTATATTTTAATGTACTGTGGCCACACAGTGTATGGAAAATAATGCACAATCCTGTGGCGCCTTTATATAAAAATGCCACACATAAGAATCGTAACAGTCTATGTATAGGCCAACAATTGGCAAACAAATAGTGTAGGGTCCATTATTGCAAAAAAATATTGTATTGTGATAACTGTATGTGACTGTTACAAAGTATATGCAATAATGGTAGAATACAGTATATGAAAGTACTTTTTTAATTCCATATGGCTTCATTTATATTTTTCTCCATATTTACACTCAGGCCAAGTACTCAAACAAGAAACAGTGACAGGCTGAGACTATTGCCCGGGAAACTTATAATCGTCACTTCAACTACTCAAGTAGCCCTGTCAGTGTTTGTGCCAACCCCTGTCAATGACGGCTTTGTCTGCATGTCAATATGGAGTAAGTATAAATAAAGGCGTGTGAAATGTGAAAAATCTGAAAGGCTTGTGAGTGGTATCATTAAACATACAATTTTCATAGAGTTATAAGAGTACAACAATTTCCATGATAGTGGTCCGTTATACAATATAATTTGCCCAATAATATAATATAATTGTGACCCCAAGAGGTCCGAGGGGGTCTCCATAGTTCTGGGTCCATAGTCAGTAGGAAGGAGGCTAGCCCCCAGGCTCCTCCAACAGCACCAGTGACGGTTCAGTCCGTCACATATATTATTTTGCCATTTACGAGCCAAAATGGAGACAATACTGACACTTCCAGGTGTTATCTAAACATTAAACACTCTGCCAATTCAAACCAAAACATGAATTACCTTTCTGTGGTGTAGCCTTGTCTTCAGTCATCATTTCTACAGAGCCCTGTTCCTCATCTTGATCAGATGTCCCATTTTGTGCTGAAAGGAGAGGACTTTCACTCTCTTCTCTAACTGCATCAAACCCAGAGTCCTGATTAAGACCGTCTATCTTCTTCTTTTTCTTTGCCTTAACTTTGGGCTGCAAGGGCCTTTTCTTTTCCATGTCAACACATTTCTTTCCTGAAGAAGAAAATACATTTAAAGGGAGTCTATGAGGCCTCACTGCAATGGCACAGCTAGCAGTGAAGAGGATTTCGGCTAGAGGAAACAGTGGTGCAGGCTGCAGCTGTCCTACGCAGGAAAGTAAAAAGCAGTGAACTTGTACAAAACACATAGAAGTCTATTTATCAATATTTTCAGATTTCACTCGAAAAATGTGTGACTCTTGGGTGAATCTTACATGGAAACATTGGAAAATGGACCCCATAATGTTTGCTGGTAGATCATGGTCTGAACTTTCACAGACCAATAATTGATGATAGAATGTGACTTTCATAGCATTAGATTATCCAATGCTGCTGGATATAGGAGGCCATAATGAGCGAAGCAAAACAGCTTCATTAAAATCCGCCACCATTTAATTAAGTTATGAATTTTTACATAGAATTAGTATAGCTACCTGAATCTATCTCGAAATCTACCTCCTGTAATCTTCCACACGTGATCATTCTAAATAGAAGGGTAAACACTCTGAGCCGGTCAGGGCTCTATTTCTTTTCACAGTGCTGCCAGTTAAACACGGGAACATGCTTACCAGAAGGTACTGTACAAGGATAACTAGAGTGCTGCTGATTAGTCATAGACTGTGGTGCGTTGCAGACCAGGCAAGTTCTATTTAACTAAGGTCCAGGACCTGTCATAACAGAAGTATGGGGATTACCAATGTGGGCCCATTGGCTTTAACGCTGGCTCATTGGCTTTAATGCTTTCAGAATCACTGATCCAGAACAAGTATGCAAATCAGGAAAGACATATATACAAGTCACTACATACAAGTTATAATTGCATAATTGTTCTGGGTCACATGCTCAACGTATTCAGGCACAGTGCCATTCTGACAGCCAGGCAACTAGCATTCTTAGAAAGAGAGGTTAAAAATGCAGCCTCCGTGTAGCTCTAAACAGATAAACAGACCTGGAGATGGTTACTGACCTTTGGGTGGCCGGCTGTGCTCTTGCTTGGATAAGGGCCAACTATGCAAGCAGAAATCATCTGCTCCCGTCCACACGTGGTCTGGTTCTACTGGAGACCACTGGACACACAGAAGCCTTCCCTTGTGCCCACGATAGTTACTGAGCGGCTCTTCTTGTAGAACATCCCAAATCTAGAACAGAACATTATCAGTTCATTGCCAATACCTGTGGTGTTGATATGACCTGCTAAGTTTTTTCACTTCCTTTTATTCAACTTTTATAAATGAATTCTTGTTGTTCTATACACATATTAGGTCATTAAATGACCATGTGCTCTATTTTACACTAAACAAGCAACTGTCCTGCAAGACAACATAGGATGTCTGATATTACCAGAATGATCTCTCTAAACTAGTTTTCACTTTGTTATTCAGGCCTACCTGTTCCCAATTTCATGGCTATGTGTCACTACCTGCAATCCCCCGTCCAATAAGAGTGTCCATACTTGCCCCTGAGACACTCCTATTGGACAGCAGAATGGTAGGTGGCAGTGCTTGCACCACTCTGATCCCTGCTGCCACCCCCAAAATGTCATAATGACAATACATTGAATTGTTGGTATTTCCATACTCTATGATATGCCCCCCTGATGTAACAGAGCCAGGGCCTGGTAATTAGATGTTTACATCAGCAGCACTACATTGTGTGGAGTCAAGGGGCATGTATGCCATGTCAGATCCAGAAGAACAAGACTTTTGACTGGAGCAGTCGTGTGCACAGATGTGGCACTAAAAGTTTATGTATTAGGGAGTGTCTAGGGCAGGATTGGGATGGGTTTTAGTTTTATGACAGTTTTGCTGAATGTGAATTTAAACTACTGAAGGATAATACTTAATTGGTTTCTATTGTTTTTTTATTTACGCTCCGCTTTATAAAAAAAAAATAAAAAGAACCCATCGGCCAGAGATAAAAAAAAAATCAACAACTTTACCTGCATAAAAAAACACTATAGGAATTCCAAAGCATGTGAGGAAGTTTGAACTTTACTGTATATGTAATGCTTAGGCCTTGTACACACAGGCTTCAGTGTGTACAGGAAGCTTTTACAAAGCATCTGAAATGCTTACAGCCAGTTTTGTAGAAGCTGTTAAAGCAAACTCAGGCTCTAGTTTAATGATCTAAATGAGAGTGCTGGCTGTCATTTTAAAGAAGCAGTTAGCTGGCTTTAATCAAGTTTTTAGTGAAGCCTGCTAGCAATTTGTTAAAAGTGGCAGCCTGTATTCCCATTACGATCTGCGTTTAACATCTTTAAAATTAGGCTGAAAATTGCTTTAAAATCTTCAACAATGTTGGCTTAACGCTTTGTAAAAGCTTGCGGTGAACATTGCTCTTGTACAAGCTGAAGCCCAAGCACAAGGCTTGTACACAGGTTTTTAGCTAGGACATGTTTTTCTGAAGCCTTTTGAATGGCCTCTCTCCCCCGGCAGCTGGTGTTCTCTTTACTGTGATGCTCCAGATTGTGGACGGGCCCTCTGAGTCCTCACTTACAATGCAGGACTGCTGGTCCTGCAATGTACATGACTTCAGAGGGTGACCACCGGATGGAGAGCCGAAGACAAGCAGCTCCGCGCGGTGGGTTGCACAGAGAGAAGGAAGTCTGTGGGATAGAGGAATAAGAAAAGTAAAACTGCTCTTAAATGGTCCCCTAGACAAAAACAAGCATTTAATTGTGCAGGGGGAGACCTACTGCAAGGGCCGGTTTTAAATTTCCCCAAATGCTTCTAGGTCTGACATTTGTATACACGACCGTTACTAGAGAATAGCTTATATTGCTTATCATCTATAAATGAAGCACTGTTCATATGTGTGTATATTTTCAGAAATGCATATAATTCAAGTACAGAAAGTGCTCCACGTAAAGATGATTTTACCACGCAGCTCCGCTTACCTGTGATGTACCATCATAGCTGGCAGATGCCAGCCTAGCATCATGGTGAGGACTCCATGATAGACTTGTGATCTTTGCTGTGTGCCCAGACAGGGTTCGATAAGGCTCTGTGACGGTGGTGGGGGAATCAGTGAAGTTTTCTGGGGGACACAAAATACAAAAGTAGATAAGCATTCCTTTTTTTCCCTTAAGAAAGATCTATGGGGTAACCTTTTTATGCCATAGTTCTCTTTAAGGTCACAGGAGGACAACACTAACATCCTCCCATGGCCCAAAGCTCAGTATATAGCGGGCTATAGCTCGCTACATACTGAGAGCGCCGCAGGCAGGATGGTTACCGACAATACTGGCTGATTGACAGGGGACTCTACCTATCTAGAGGCAGAGCCAGCTGTATCCGTTCCTCCAGTCAGCGCTGGGGGATCAGAGAGGGAGAATCCCGCTCTCTGTAGGGAGATGATCTGGAAGTAAGCGAGCGACTATGTGTTTGCTCACTTCCCAATCAATAGAGCAGACGTGCGACAGTTTCAATGTCACACGTCGGCTCTAACTATGGGGATGAATGTAAATCACTCACCTCATAGTTTAATACTTAATTATTTATAAAAATAATTAGTAGAGTGCATAACACCTAAAGCTACCTGTAGGAAAACAAATATAAACAAAACTTCCTAATAAACGAATATAGAAACAAATGTGCATTAATACAAACTTTTCTCGTGTAAAAAAACATTCCTTTCAATTCTGTAAACATTAACCAATAGTCTTGTTTATGAATTCCAGTCTAAATAAATAAATAAATATAGAGAAGAGTGACAGTTTTTTTGTTAGTGAGATTAGCAGTCCCACTGTTAGACATTCTCTTCAGAGCTGACTTCAGGTGAAATCAGGCACTGCGGCTCTGAAACTAAAATTTATCCATAAAGCTTAATGTGTATGTATAGACACCATCTTTCTTTGTAGTTTTGGAGCTAGTATAGAAGAATTAAAACTGCTGTCAGTTTATTTTGCTGTTGTCTGTGTCCTGTTTGAGCAATATCCCTTCACTTCCTGTCCCAGAAACACAAAGAAAAGAGAGCGGAAATAGGGGAATTCCCCTCTTAGATAGTCATCACTGGAACAGGTATCCCCACTGGAAGATTTCTGAGCTATTTCTTCACTCTTCTGGTGACAACAGTAAAATATTAAAGGTTCATCATTTCCTGTTTCAAGGACAAATAAAAAAATAGAGAGGACGAATCTACTAATTGGGGGCACAGACAACGATATAAACATGAGAGGTATTTATCCCTTCTCTACTACAATGCCAGGCCAAAAAAAAAAAAAAAATCACACACGCTAATATTTCGTTGGACCACCTTTAGCTTTGATTATGGCATGCATTTGCGGTGGCATAATCTCAATAAGCTTATGCAATGCCACAACATTTATTTCAATCAAGAGTTGCATTCATTTTTCACCAAAATCTTGCAGTGATGATGGGAGACAAACCACTGTGTAAAGTCTTCTCCAGCACATCCCAAACATTCCCAATCGGGTTAAGGTCTGGACTCTGCCAATCCATGTGTAAAAATGATGTCTCATGCTCTGTGAACCCCTCTTGCACAATTGGAGCCCTTGGAATATTCCCGTGCCATCATGGAAGAAAAGATCCATTGATGGAAAAACCTGGTCATTCACTATATTCAGGTATGCAACAGACCTCATTTTTTGGGGACATAATGTTGCTAAACCTAAACCTGTCCAACTGAAGCAACCCCGGTTCAGAACAGATGTTTTGAAAGGTGAGGCAAAAGCAGTCTGTACAGGTGTGTCTAGATCTGGGTTTTCACCTTTGTGATTATGTACAACCTTATAAACCAAATATTCACCAAGTAGCCAATCACCCTCCAGCTATGTTTCTATGATCCTGTTCTCCAGTCCAACCCTCAGTGACTTTTTTCCTTCTATCTTAAGGTGGCCATACATTGTACGATTTTCGTTCAGAAATCGTACACAAAATGGGCTCAAATCAAAATCGAACAGTCGATGGATGAGCGGGGTTTTAATTCGTCAAAAAATCTTAGCAAGAACACAGCACATGTGTAAAAGAAAATTATTTCCGTAGTTCGTCAAAAATTGGTTGGTTAGTATGGCTAACGAACGATTTCTGAAATCGACATTTGACTATGCCTGATGGGTATTTGAGCTATAATCGAATGAGGATTCGTGGCAGAAATAAAAAAAATTCCAAACAAAAATCAACAAGTGTATGGCCACTGTTACTGTCACTGTCTGTCTGTCTTTCTCTTCTGAGACCACTCTGCTACTCATTTTAAAGGCAGCAGTGTTTGCTCTACAAAGTCTCCAGTATATCCTCCTCCTGTGCCTTCCTTTTGTGCCCTCTGCTACAAGTTCTACAGTGTCTACAATCTGTCTCTTAGTACACAGTTATGCCCAACTCCATGATGACTTCTCTGTTCTTTTCCCTGAACTTACCCAGTCTTTCCATTCAAACCTTTCATTATTTGCCAGAATAAGCCCCACCACCTTTCCACTAAGCACTGCTCCCTATACTTCAGCATGTGCCGAGTGACTATACCAAAAATGTACAAAAGTCTATGAAACGTTTCCAGCCTAAACAAGACAACCATGGGCATTTGCCCTGGTCTTTCCAAAGATTGTTCCCCTGCATGTCAATCTCATCTCACTGATTTATTTTCTCTCTCTCTCCTCTGGTCCACAATCTGCTCCTGCACATTGCACTCTTCCACCTGCTGCATAATTTGAACCTTTAATTTACCCAAACAAACGTGAAAGTTTTCAATCGTTCTCATCAGGGTTGTAGCATGTGTGATGTCATGACTTCCGATTTAATCTTCTGCACCAATGCAAAAATTAATCAAACAAAAATGTATGTAGCAATGAACCCAAGTAGAATAATCTGAAAGAAACTAGCAAGCAAACATACGCCCACCAATGCAAAAAAATATAATAATAAAAAAAGAAAGTGATGCAAAAGCTGTGTGAAGAAAGCTTAAGGTAGATATTTGACACAGGAATAACAGGAACTTGAGCCACCCTAAAAAGCTATCACGTCATTATAGAGTAAACTGCACAACAGAAAAAATTACTCAGTCCATGAACAGATATACATTTTCTAGCATATGCAATAGTTGTAAATATGTGTTCTCACCCAGTGCTCCTTTTAGGTTGTGCACGTAAATCACTGCGTTGTTGGATCCTGATGCCAGGAGAAAGCTTAGGTTTGAGTCTTCACTGTGGTCATGATGCCAGCGAAGAGCATTCACTAGTTTATGATGTTGTTGGATAGTGCAAATCAACTGAAGATTTGGAGCCCGGAAGATTTCAATACTCCTAAAACACAGTAAAAAGTTAACCATTAACAAATATGTAAAAAAAAAAAAAAGACGCGTACTACCTTTGGTTTTCTAACGCTAAAAGAGGTCAGAAGAAGATTTTTGGGGTTTATGTACTTTGCCAACTACATTTAAACACTATCTGTGCATCCTAAAAGTTACTTCAGCTCATTGACATACTGAGCCTCCTTTCTCAGGGGTAAGCATCCTTCTCCTGCCTGCCCTCTTCTACTTTCCCTGGTGCGCCCCTTCAGGGCAAAAAGCAGACAAATTTCAGCTGCACACACAGACATTTGTAGGGAGAGAGAGGTTAGATAATCTCTCCCATGGCTCCTCTGCAAACTCACCGGGAGACAGCCACAGAGTAAATACCATGCCACTAATCTTTTACACCTTCGATTTTTACCTTTTTTGCCACATGGGAATTTATGAAGCTAAAATGTCTTCACGGGCAGCACAGTGGCGTAGTGGTTAGCACTTCTACTTTGCAGCACTGGGGGTCCCTGGTTCAAATTCTGGCCAGGTCACCATCTGAAAAGGAGTTTGCATGTTCTCCCTTTGCTTGCGTGGGTTTCCCCTGGGTACTCCGGTTTCCTCCCACACTCCAAAGACATGCTGGCATGGTTAATTGGCCCTGTATGTGAGATGGGGACCTTAGATTGTAAGCTCCTTGAGGGCAGGGACTGATGTGAATGTGCAACTATATAAAGCGCTGCATAAATTGTTGGCGCTATATAAAATACCTGTAATAAATAAATCTTTATCTTTGAAGTGCAAAAACTAAAAGCTGTTGATTAACAACAAATAAGCAATGTAAACTGGCCTAAAAACAGATTATCTTCCTTGCTTGTCTTATGCTGGCAAAACACATAATAAGCAATCAATTGATCTGGTCCATTAAACTGTCCAACAGAAAAGGAGATATTTTTTTTTTCCAGGATCAATCACTTTTCCCCCAAAAAAAGTAAAGAACCCAGAATGTTCAGTAAAATCGATTCCTGAAATCAAAACAACTGTTAGGACCAGCAGATTTTTGGAATGCCCTTCAGTGCCAATCTTATAACAACGCTCCATACTGATTAAGAAGTTAAAGGCTTTGATGGTCAGTCACTTCTGTTATCAGCAGGCACAGAAGAGAGGAGTGCTCACTGCAAAATCAAGCTGCTGTTAAAAAGTTTCAAAAGGTTGTTTAAGCAAAATACTAGTGCGCAAAAACATTATGACTCGGGTAGTAATACTTGTTAAATAGCAAGCCAGGTTTTTCAGGCCCTGACTGTATACAATTGTCACTTACAGTTCTGCTTAGAATCATTTAATCTCTGCTTAGAATCATTTAATATAAATCTACCAGGACCGAAGTAATATGTAACTTTTCCCATTTGTTAGTCCGTTAGTTTAGTGCAAGCCACTTACCCATCTTCATTGCCAATGGCTAAGTGCTGTGAGTCAGGTTTCCAGCTCATTTCAGTGTGTGCAGGCAACTTGTGCTAACCAAACAGAAGAGACAAAACTCATCAAACCACAATACTGCAATATTTACTTTATCAAATGTAGTATTGCCAACAGTAATGAAAGGTACAGTTCAGTGAAATTTGGAAATATACTACTCACCATAGATGCTACAATCTTTGTAGAATCAACAACTTGAGTTACATAAACTATGAGATTTGGGGACCTACCTAAACTATCCTAGGAGATTCTACAACTAGATTGTAACGTGTGTGAGAGCTTAGAATGGAGTTGCATGCAGGGAACACAGACTTCCTGCCTTGGACTTTTATCATTCATCCTAACATAAGACCATTAAAGGTCAGGCCAAAAGCTGTTACACTCCCAGAGCTGCAGCACATCACAGCAGGCTGCCATTGTGTTCCAAACTAACACCTCCAAAAGGGACCTCTTGGCTGCCTCCCTGAGTGTATAAACAGCCACTGAAATTATATTTGTTTTCAGTGGACTGACCTTTTTAAACTCCAATTAAAATCCTAGTATACAAAATAAAGATTTCCAAATATTCTTGCTATACAATATTGCTGTGGACTGAAAGAGGATTTGAATAGAAATGTCCAGATTCTTAGTGTAGTAAATGCTTGAGAGAACTATAGGGTTCACCTTTTTTCACCTTTAGTTTCCTAATGATACAAGAGTACATTGTGCAATGTACTCCTGTAATCGAAAATCCACCCTAAGCTTGCAATTCAATATAATATGGGTGGAGCTAAGCTCCGTGCTGAGAAGATATCCCGACAATGATGTCGGGATCAACCCCACACTTCTCTCCTCCCATTGAGTAACAGCGCCCTGTAGGAGCTGCTGCACATTCATGATCACCTGCGCAGGCGAAGCCGCTCTGTCCCCACCTCCCTTCCACACTGCTGTCTCCATCTATTCTTCTCCCTGGCTCATCATGAACAACACTGTCCCTGAATAACATCTGTACGTGCAACTCTGTCCTCACCTCCCCTCCATGTTGCTGTTTCCATCTCTTCTCCCTGGCTCATCAGGAATAACACAAAGGAGATCTGCAGCAGCGGTTCAGGAACCCATCTTACCTTGTGCAGTTACTAAAGTGCTGCTACAGATCTCCTTTGTGTTATTCAGGATGAGTCAGGGAGAAGAAGAGATGGACACAGTGGAGGGGAGGTGTGGACGGAGTTACAGAGACAGATGTTATTCAGGGACGGTATTATTCATGATGACCCAGGGATAAGAAGAGATGGAGACAGCAGTGTGGCGGGGAGGGAGGGACAGAGAACGGAGCTGCTGTGTCTGCACTGATATTCATGAACGAGCAGCAGCTCCTATAAGGCACTGTCGCTCAATGGGAGAAGAGAAAAGTGGGGAGGATCCCGACAATATTGTCAGGACAGCTTCTCAGCATGGAGCTTGGGCCCACCGACACTATATTTTATTGAACGGCAAGATAATGGGGGATTTTTGATAATAGGAGTACATTGTAAAATGTACTCCTGTATCATTAGGAAACCAAAAAAATGGCACAAAAAAGACAAACCCCATAGTTCTCCTTTAAATTCTATATTATCTGGGAAAACTGGCGTTCTACTGTCATTCTTCTCTCTAGTAGGTTGGGAAAGATAATGAAGACTCACCTGAATGTTATTGGTGTCTCGGATCAACTTGTTAATATCCTGACCCTCCTGGGTAAGTTTCCAGGGATTGTGCTGGAAGATGATGCCTTCTCCTCCGCAGCTATACAGGGTGAATGAAGGTCGATCTCCTTCTGCTCCTGCAAGTGGTTTGTCAGAAATTAGCTTTCTATCACATTATCAAAAGAAAGATTAGGACTAGAATATCTGTAAACTCACCAAATGAGAATGGGGGCAGGGGCGGACCCCAGCACATGGAGTACACAGTCTTTTTATGGTAAGTGCTGGAGATCTGTGGAGGCCTAGAGAAAAAAGGAGCAAAAATCACTGACAACTGACAGCAATACTTTAACCTTCTATTGCACAGATTAAACACCAGGCAGAATGTTAAATCTAAAGCATGAATATCAAATATAAATAGACCACACGCCAGATACGTGATAGCAGCAACACTGAAATAATATATTATTATTGAAAATTAATAAAATAAAATGTGTCGTGCGACACGATTATTTTATTAAAGCATGAATATACTGTAGGTCTTTTATAGTAATGCACTAATACTGACTTATTGATTATTTTCACTGATCGGTTTAGAATATTAGCAGCACTATTCCACTCTGAGAAGCCCCACCCATTGGTCATGCTAAACCGTACAGGTGACACCTCTAAATCATGGGGGCGATTCTGAATCCTCCTGTGTCACCAAGCATCTAGCAAAGAGAACGATAGCTCATATAAGGATGACATCAGCATAGTTCAGAATTCTCTCATGCCTTCCCTCAGCCTTGGGAGACCCAAAAGATGGCAGAAAATATGGTCTGTACACACACAAGACTGTGATATGGAAGTTCTAAAGTTACCTCTCTTCCTAGTCCTACCTTTTGGCTGAATTTTCTATACTTAGGTAGATGATGTCCTTCCTTCTACCCCAATTTCTTGGCTGGGGATTTCTTTACAATGATGATGCTACAAAGTATCAAGGATGCAACTTTTTAAAGTGGAGGTTCACCCTAGAATTGCTCATTGAATATTAAGCAGCCATATAACACATTTGCCTTGATAAAGGCATAGCACCATGTTTGACTTCTGTCCAGCAATCAGCACTGGAACACTGCCAGCTATTACCAGCCTCAACCTGCAATTTGTGGTGTTTCTGAGTCTTTCTCATGCCATTTATGACTTTGACAGCATCAGGCCACAGAGGAAGCACGTTCAAGCAGTTTCCAATCAGGCTTTTAAATCACAGAAGGTAGATAGCATGATGGGTGTCGAGTGACAGCATGATCTGCATGGTGTTTCTGGTAACAGCTAGCAGTTTCTTAATGTAGACTGCTGGACAACCAGAGCTTGGACAGAAGTCAAACAAGGTGCTATGTTAAATGTCAGTCAAAGTACCGCAGCGCTGAATACTGAAAAATGGCCTGGATGGGAAGGGGGTTTAACACCGCGGATGTCAACTGGTTAATAAGGTACATGTATTATATGGCTCCTTAATGTTCATTGAGTAATTCTACAGTGAAAATCCACTTTAAAGCCATTATAAAAGTTATTTACAATAGTTTTGGATTAAACTTTTAGCTACAGCAGAGTGCCCAAGCTCTGCCTGCACCCATTGCAGTCAGAGAAGCCCTTTCCACCCGCTGCCTTTAGACTTACTGAAACCTATGACCAGCTTTCCTGAAGTGTACCCAAGTCCCATTGAGATGTTTTGCACTGTGCTTGGTGACAAAGTGAACAAGGATGCACATCAGGAGTGCTGTTCATACAGTTTAAAGAAACCTAAAGGCAGTGAGTAGGAAGGCTACTCTGGCTCCTGTTCAGGCTCCACCAACAACACCTATAGTAGACAAGGCTTGGGTACTGTGCACGTTTTTGTCTGCATCTATTCTGAAAATAGACATGTGCTCATTCTTTCTTTTTAAATTGAAGTCCTGCTTACACTAGACACCACAAGATGCTTACTATTACCTTTATCTTCCACTTACTGGAGCCTGAAGTCTGACTTCATGAATAAACTGCACCACATGCCACCTTATCAAACGAGTGTGCTATTAATGGCCACTGGCAAAAGGCAATAGGCTCTGTGATATAGTCAGGAAAAGTCAGGGTTCAGTAACCATGGGAAAATTACATTGGAGAGGAAAACAGAAGAGGCTTTTCTGTCTGCTCTATCTTATGCATACTCATCTGTTATAGTTAATTTGAAACTGGTTCTATTGCACCATGGGATGCCGCCTGCGGTCCCCAGACTTGAGATGCACCCTAACAGTAGTCCACTGTGTATTCCTCTTACTTGCTGGAGAAGACATCATAAATTCCAACCTTGCCGTCATCTGTACCAAATGCCAGGCTACCCTCTTTGGTGGAATGCCAGGAAAGCTAGAGAAAAAAAAAAACATCAAGTGAAATAAAGAAAACAAAGAGCACATATTTGCCTCATTGTCAAATCAGTGCTGTAATCTCCCACACAGGCAGTCTCTTACAAAATTTGTAGATGGCAGAGTACGTCAGTTTAATACAGTAATTATCTAATACAATTATAGTATTAAAAAAAACCCAATAATTTAAATTAAAAAACATACCGGTATATCAAAATATAAAGAGCAATGCTGGATATGTCCACATTTACACTTCAGCAGCAGAGATCAGCCTTTAAATTGATGTCTCTTACACAACACAGTATATATTTTAGATTTCTAGTATCCTGTAGAATGTGCAATGTAAAAATTGTCTACTAAATAATTATATACAAACACTTACTGCTGTGACTTTGGACCTAATGCTTTGCCACAGTGTCTTCACATCATATGAGTTCACCACAGACATTGTGTTCCACACACGGATCATGCTGTCACCTACTCCAACGGCCAGACATCCGGCAGCCACAGGGGAGAAAGCCAGGCTGTACACAAAGCCACCCAAAGAACTCAATGACCAGCAGCATGAAAGGGAGCCCAGATCCCAACATTTCACCTGCACATAATTCAAAAAGTTAAAAAGCATAACAACAAGAGAACCGCCTTTTATTTTTATGCAAGACTAAAAATAATAGTAAAAGTTCACCCAAAACGGATGTTTTGCTTTATGAGTGGATGCTGACTGAATGACTCACACCGTGGTTTTACTACCACTCAGAAACACAAGTGAGGGTAAGCTCTCTCCTAGATTTCCCACCTCACACCTCCACTCTTTTTGCAGCCATTACAAAGCTCGAAGGGTATTGCTCTGTCAGCAAGACCGTGAATGATTGGTCTTACACAATGTAGAATGAAGGAATGATAAAGTGACAGTAAACTCAGGAGTTAAATCTTAAAAATACATTCAAAGTACCTTAACTATTACCACAAATGTATCTTATTTGTGTATCACTCAGCTATAGATCCTCAAATCCTCTCTAAATTGGTGCCGACACTGTCCTTCCTTCCGGAGGGTGGCTACTTTTGTTCCCCATGGTCCCTGTGTGTGTTGTAAAGTAGTCACCGCTCCAAGCTCGCTTCCTTGAAAGACTACAATCCCAATAAAAACTACTAAATAAAACATAAAATTGTAGTCCATCACGTGAGCGAGCTTGAATTACACTTTGAATACTGTCATGTATGTATAATACTGTCAAGGCTTTGACTTGCATTTCACAATTACAGTTTCTTCAGAACTCACATCTCGGTCCATAGATGTAGACAGAAGCAGTTCCCTCCCTTCTTCGGTCACAAGAGAACAAAGATTGAAAATTATTCGGGTATGGTTTTGTCCTTCTGAAGAGCCCAGGAGACTCCATTTTTGTTTCCCAGATTTTGTCAGATCCCACAAGAGCAGCTCCCCTCTAGAGACAAGAAAATTGTTTGGTCACATATTCTAAAAAATAGCAGTGCTCTTTCTTATAAGTAAATGTGCCTATAGTCTTCCAGCTGTATATCCGCTGTGTGAGAGGAACTGCTGCCTCTGACTGTTTGTCTCATGATATTTGGAGTGAGATTCCATGATGCAATTACTGTGCTGCTTAAAATTGTCTTTATTGCCAATAGCGACCTGACACTTCTGCTCATCTTCCACAGGTTAGGAATTTAACAGAAGAGTCTAATTGCTTTTTTATGGTGGCAAGATCATTTTCTTTAAACTAAAAAAGTCACTGCTGGCAGGTAGGCTTTTGCTGCAAATGAAAATTAAACAGTGGTTCCACTTTTAACATGTCAAACAGAGACAAAACATAATACAAAAGTGATACTCCACCAATGATGTCCAATCCTAGCAGTGAATATTAAACAATAGAATCAATAAGTGGTACTTACAAGAAATTAGCTTTTTTTCGAATAAGTTATTCCCAAAATGTCACACTTCACCACCTGTGGGTGAATCAAACTCACCAGAAACAAAGACCTCTATAGCAGAAGATGTAATGAGGTCACCAGTACACTGAGGTCCACATTATCAACCTGTTGTTAGATAAACATGCTATCACAAAAGATCGCAACGTTTCGGAACCAGTGTTGTCCCTTCATCAGGCAAAACAATGTGACACAATGTCTGGTGAAGGGACAACACTGGTTCCGAAACGTTGCGATCTTTTGTGATAGCATGTTTATGTAAGAGCAATTAAGGACAGATTTTTAATGTGGACCTCGGTGTAGTGATGACCTCGCTGCCTCTACTGTCTTTATGGCGCCATCCTCTGGCCATTTCAATACCCACTGCAGTTGCAAGAAGAGATATGCCGGTCTAGAGTGTGTTGGAATATCTTTAACCACTTCCGGGCCGCAATACGTACATATATGGCGGCCCGCAGAAGTGGTTCTTGGTGTAATTTTAAAAAGCTGACACTGGCTATACAGCCGCCAGAACGTTTGTTTACCGATCGGCGGATCGAGCTGCCCCCTCCGCCGGCTTCCCCGGGTTCCGCTGTCTCCCGGGCTTGTTAGCCCCCTATACAGCAATAAGGTTAGTGTGAAAAAAAAAGTGTTTCAAAAATAAAGTTCTCGCCCCCCACATACATACACTAACACGCGTAGGTGCGCCTATGTGCAAAAACAAAAATTGCGCTGCACATGTTACATATCGCCGCGAGCGTCAGAGGAGAGCAATAATTCTATGGCCATTGATCACGGTTAGCACTAAACTGATGAGCTTTTAAAGTGTCCCCTATAGGAAATTTTTGGTATTGAAGATTTTTTGCGGCTTCACAGGCAAAGCAATTTTAAAGCTTGACATGTTTGGAATCTATTTACCCTATGTAACCCCATATTTTATATTTTACCAAAAAATTGGGTATTATATTCTGTTTCTGTGCAATAAATTTCATCCTAAAAATACTGGTTTGATAAACATTTGCGCAAATACTGTGCAACATAAAATTGCAACTAGCATTTTTTTTTTTTCTATAGGGCTTCTGCTTTCAGAAAATATATAATTGTTTGGGGGTTTGAAGTGGTTTTCTAGCCAAAAATTCAGATTATATCATGTGTGCGCAAATGTAAGAAATTAAAGCTCTATAGCAGAAGGTCATAAGCACATGCGTTTGATAGGACTCTGATTGGGGGTTAATCATCCAACCCAAAAGTATGCATAGTGATATGGCTCAGAAATAAGCAGATAAAACAAAAACAATCCAATAGTGTAATAAAGAAGTCTGTTGGGATGAAATGCGTAGGATGTTTCTACATAGAGTACATCATTTCTGCTGGTTCCCAGACTATGGAGAGGCAGCCAACGTTTCTAGCTGTGCAGGTTTTACCAGTGCCTGCCAGTTACATAGGCTGTGGGACCCACTGTTACAATAAAGTGATGCTTTTATGAGTTATGCTTTTAAAATAAACAGTATTACACTACTGGATATCTGTCCTGTGCATAATAAAATAAATAATTCCTAAGAAAGATCAATTGATTTATTACTAACCCAAAACAACTGGACAGTAACTGCGTAGGATTTCCACGTGACCAGTAGAGAGTCAGCCAAAGGCGCTCCTTGGTGGTTGGATCAACGCCACCTCCACGGCGCTTCAAATAGGGCAACTTCAGTGTGGAAACACCTATAAAAACACACGAGAGATAGCAGTTACAGGAAGTGATGAGAAATCTCTTTAATGTGCACATAGAGTGCAACAAAATAGTTTTTGTTCAGTCAAATGGGGAAAGTTTAGAACATGTCTGTTTATTTTAAAATGTATTCAATGCCAAAGGGTTTTTTTTCCTCGATGGAGTAGGGAAATATTAGCAACCCTGTCAAGTCTCTGTCACTGCTAGGAAGCTTCACCCCTTAATTATCACAGAGACTGAAAAAGTGCAAATCCAACATTTGAGTTGCCACAAGAACAGGAATAAAGGGGAACTTTTCCAGTTGGGACATGTCTTGCAGTGACACTTTGTTCTCTTACTTTGAAAAGATTTCCTATTGCTTCCTATTGTGTCTTTGTGACAGCAAATAAAGGAATATTTCAACAATGTGACATAGTGGCAAAAAAATAAATAACCCGACAACTGTGACTTTATATATGCTTTAATATCTTCCTCTGACAACAGCTCCCCTCATTTCTTGTCTTGCTGTCATGGGACAAGGAGTAAAGGAGAAATCTCCCCAAAGGCATCACACACAGCAATAAAAGAAAGCAAGCAACACAGCAATAACAACTTGGTGTGCAAGGAGGAAAGTGCCAAAAGCAGAATGGATAAAGTCCACATTTCATTTTACTTTTTTTTTAATCATAAAAAGTCTACAAGATTCTGAACTTCAAAAGGGCCCCTACATCAAAATGTGGTACAGGTAAACAAAGCATGTATTGGACTGATACATTTGGAGGGATTCTGAGGGGTAACTAATTTGAACACACCAGATACTGGTTAAGGCTTTTAAAAAAAAAACCCGCAAAGCTGCAATACATTTTTCTTGGGTTTCGTTTTTGATAAATACTATATACAATGTAGTTTTTCTCTCACCTCTGATCTACAGTATCAAATTAGCACCGCCAGGTGCAGTTCCTCTCATCAGCAGTACGGCATCTGCCATTTACATGCTTTTGTAACATGTCAGCTTACTTAGAATTGCTTCTTACATGCTTTTGGCCATAGACTCTTGTAATGGTCACTTACAGTCTCTAGTTACACCAAAGTGATCTTTTGCAATGCCTTGTAGCAGAACCCAATTTACTTGAAACATCTTGAACTGACGGTCTTAGTGCCGATGTGGTATATGTATTGTCTGGAGACAGCAGTGTGGAGGAGAGAGGGGAGGGGGAAACGAAAGATGGATGTGCAAGTGTTAACTCTGATAGGATCTGCCCTTAGTGTCTGCGCAGGTTCTCATGAACACGCAGCAGCTTCTACAAGCTGCTGTTACTCAATGGGAGTGGAAGATCCCAGCAATATTGTCGGGATCGCTCCTCAGCACAGAGCTTAGCCCCACCCGCAGTATATTAGACTTTAAGCATTTGGTGCATTTTTGATTAACGTACTCCTGTATCATAAGGAAACTAAAAATAATTTAAAAAAAGGGTATAACCCATAGTTCTCCTTTAATTACTAGTGGTTCAACTGCTGCGTTTCGGTCAGATTTTGCATGCAAGTAACTTTAAAAAACAGCTGTCGCCTGCAGGTCAATGGAAACAGGCATCAGCTTTCATGAGCCAGTGTGATTGCATATAGCGGACCTTATGCTAAAGAAAGGGCAACCCTTGTATACAGCAACACAGTTAATAGTTCGATAATGCCACTGTGTCTTTACCTCACAAGTATGTTGGTATAGTATTCATGTTTTCTTTTTCTTTATATGATGCTGCATACAACTTTCCTATATCAGTGTTAGTATGCAGAAGCACATGCATGGTTTACATAACAATGCAGCAAGGTACATCAATCCCTGGGGCCCACCTTTTCCTGTAGAGGAATTCCATATACGGATAGTCTGATCTTTGCTGCCCGAGGCCAGGTAGCAGCCCTTGTTCTCAGTCTCTGGCAGGAGGTCTCCGTTGGCTGTATTTTGCTCGGCTGCAGATGAAAAGAAAGAACACAGGCTCAGGATGGGATCCGGCACAGAAAGCACAGAGTGCAGACACGTACAGAGCTGGACTTTTTTTTTACCAAGTTCTAAGGAACCAATATAGATGTTAGATGCCTTTAGAGTCTAAATTTATTCTAAATCTATTATTCAAATTAAAGGGAAACTAACCTGTATTTTCAGTAACACATCTTGAAGTACAATTAATCTTTCAGATCATTGCTGTTCACATTTTAAAATTTTATTCACGTCTTACACATTTTTATCACTTTTAAACAGGCACCCCTGCATGTTATAATGTATACCTGATTTTTGCTTGGAACTACCTTAAAATACATTTTTCTCTCAGTGAAAATACTGCTTCCTGCCCTCCAATTCCAGTGCTCGGTGCTGACAAACTTGAGTAACAGCCACACCCCTCACACACGCGATTTGTAGGAAGGTCAGGGGGTGTGTCTGACCAGTCCTGGTACTGAGTCCTGAGTGTACTAGGTCTACCGCTGCTGCCCATTGGACTACTCAGTCACATTAAAACTCCCTACGTAGCTTCTGTAACAGGAAAATGGAGCTAAGATTTTGAAAATCAAAAGGTTGTTTGTACAATGTTTAAATGCATATAGTATCTTTTCTTGTGACTTCAGTTGGGCTTTAAAGCCGTCTCCATTTACTAGGCTCCTGCCCTTCTTGGATGTCCCAAAGCTGAAGCCACACTAATATTTCTGTGGCTCTTGGACAGCCAAGGAGAGGTGGACATCTACACAATCATGAAGTAATATTCAGAATACTCTTTATAGAACATTTTTGCACAGATCCATCCCACTTATCTCCATCTTTACATAGGTTCCTGCACATCTGATGTCTCAAAACTGCACACACTGTAAACACTTTAATGGTCGCATACAGTAACTGTAAAAGAGCCTTCCAGTTAATTGAGGTAGGGTGCTTCCATGGTTTAGTGGCAGCACAGGTTGGGTCTAGTTCTCTGCTGCTTTTTTGTTCTTACACTTTGGTTTTACTGTGAACACTGACCTGTACATTAGACACTCCTGACCCCTGCACCTTATGTATCCATGAGCCCTTTGCTCTGTGTGTTGTACACTCCTGTCCCCTGTGCTGACATATTATATGAGACATTTTACCAAGTATTACATTTAGTTCACATATAAATTGATTCAAAAATCATCACCACTTCACTCTAGGCAATCAACTAAAGCACAGCGCTTTTACATGCTTTACAGGATTTGTAACTCTCTTTTGCCACTCTAGTAATCCATCCACCCCACCAGACAGCACAGCCAGGTCCTATAACAAGAGAGTTACAGGTGTTTTGCTAGTTTTATGTAAAAAGGAATTTAATTTGTTGTAATGAACCCATATCTAGATTAAGATTTATACCTGCCTGCAGTTTGTCCTCTAACTGCATATCAAATACTTCTAACATACGTGGCGTGACAATTTAAATCCCTGGGGATTAAGCTTCGCTTATTGCTAAAAATTGTGGCATGAGTAAGAAAATCACAAGATTGGCTGAACAGAAAAATATTTTGGAGTGTTAGGCTGGGCACACACCTTACAACCATCGCAAGACTTTTGTCTTGCGATGGTTGTAAGGTACTTTAAAAAACGTACGATCTGCCTATCTTGCATAGGCAGATCGTACTTGCGATGATCGCAAGCCACGCCCCCTGAGGGGCGGGCTTCCGATGACCGCAATGCCGAACGGGCAGTGTGCGCTTGCGCACACCGGCCCGTACGGCTTTTATCGTACCGACATGCCACAAACCCGCCGAACGTCGTACGATGCTCGGCGGGTTTTCGAACATGTCCGTAAGTTTAAAGTCGTGCGACCTTACAGTAGTAGAGGTCGCACGGCTTCCACACACCTTACGATAATCGTACGATCGTGGGATTTCCCGCGATTATCGTACGATTATCGTAAGGTGTGTGGGGACCTTAAAACAGTTCATTCCGGTATATTTCAAATCTGTATTTAACCCTTTAGAGAACTATGTGAAGTGCTAAAGCTATCTAGGAGACCTTGCTACTGTGCTAAACAAAACAGAATACATTTACTGTACATTTGCTTTGCATGCTGATTCGACAAGCAAATCTGTGCCTCTGGGTAGTGCAGCCTGTGCTGTGCAACCTCCCTCTCTTGCTACAACAAACACTGAGTGGACAGATTATTATGACCACCCCATCAGTACTTCGTTGGGCCACGAGATGACTTTGTTGGGCCGCCTCATGACTCCACGAGATGTTGAAAGGTGATGCGATGAATCTGACACTGCACTGTTGCCCTTCTGTTGTCTTGTACCAGTCTTGCCACTCTCCGTTCTGCCCTAACATTGACTAGTCGCTGACGGCCACAATTCGCACGTTCAGACTCAGATTTTTGGCTGACAGTCCAGTCTTTAAACACTTTAACAACAGCTGCTCTTGAACATTTTACGAATTCTGCTGTTTTGCTGATACTTGCACCATGGCTCAGAGCGCCAACAATCATCCCACGTTCAAAGGCTGCGTTTTTACATCACCGTTTTACAGCAATTCTGAAGATAAAACCAGCAACTTTAGCAATTCAGCGAGATGGGCCAAAATTACAGCTAGAATAAAAAATGTTTTTTAAAAGTGTTGTTCCAAAAGGTAGGCTATGTGACCTTAGGGAGTTTTACTGCAAAGATTTCACGACTGACTGAAGTGTAACTTTAAACAACTTGTGAAATATACGGAATACAAATGAAACAAGAGTCACTGCACAAACCGACACACAGAGAGAACGGCTGAATAAAAGATGTGTTTTATCTCTGGAAACACCTGGACGTCAGTGGATTTTTCTTAAAAGATTAGCCAACTGATATACCTGGTGCATCCTCAAGCTTTTGATTCAGCTCTTCCTCTCGGGGATGCGGGCACCATGCCAGGCAGTGGATCTCATCATCATGTCCTCGCAGACGATGCACCACATCTCCTCTGCGGCTGATATCTATGAGGACGATCATGCCGTCCTTGTACCTGGGAGAGATGAGACACATTACTAATGTTGATCCCAAGATAGCAGCATCTTCTGCCAGTCACGTCACATTCAGCTGCAGATCTGGGCAGAATGAAAAAAAATGGCCACTTTATAGCATTTATCATCCATGAATAGCTTTATCCCTGGATCAGACAGATGTGTTATCTGGATAATGCCCAATGCTAGGCTAGTAAAAGAAAATAAATTGTTACATGGTAGCTTTCAGATACAGAGGCCTTTGTTTTATAAGGCACCTAGCTACTTGTAGATTTCCGTATTCTACTGGAACAAATTGTCAATCATCTTTCATGGATAGAAAGGTGACCAAATATTTGCAATTCTGCTCAACCAATTATGTGATTGCAAATTGCAACTTTAAAGCTAGACTCGGGGCAAAAAAAAACACCATTTAAATATACAGTGAGTAAAATAAGTATTTGATCCCCAAGAAAAACATGACTTAGTACTTGGTGGAGAAACTCTTGTTGGCAAGCACAGAGGTAAGACGTTTCTTGAAGTTGGTTACCAGGTTTGCACACATCTCAGGAGGGATTTTGGTCCACTCTTCTTTACAGATTTTCTATATTTTCTTAAGGTTTCTTGGCTGTCGCTTGGCAACTCAAAGTTTCAGCTCCCTCCATAAATGTTCTATAGGATTGAGGTCTGGAGACTGGCTAGGCCACTCCATTACCTTAATGTGCTTTTTCTTGAGCCACTGCTTTGTTGCCTTGGCGGTATGTTTTGGGTCATTGTCATGCTGAAAGACCCATCTTCAGTGTTCTGGCTGAGGGAAGGAGGTTCCCATCCAAGATTTTGCAATCCATGGCCCCGTCCATTGGCCCCTCAATGCGGCAAAGTCGGCCTGTACCTTTAGCAGAGAAACAGCCTCAAAGCATAATGTTTCCACCTCCATGCTTGACTTTAGGGATGGTGTTCTTAGGGTCATAATCAGCATTTTTCTTCCTCCAAACATGGCGAGTCAATTTAATGCCAAAGAGCACAATTTTGGTCTCATCTGACAACAGCACTTTCTCCCAATCCTTCTCTGAATTATTTAGATGTTCATTGGCAGACTTCAGACGGGCCTGTACACGTGCCTTCTTGATGAGGACCTTGCAGGCGCTGCAGGATCTCAATCCATGGCGGTGTATTGTGTTACCAATGGTTTGTTTGGGGACTGTGATCCCAACTGCCTTGAGATCATTCATAAGCTCCTCCCGTGTAGTTCTGGGCTGATCCCTCACTTTTCTCATGATCATCCTTACCCCATGAGGAAAATCTTGCATGGAGCTTCATACCGAGGGCGATTGATGATTATTTTGTATTCCTTCCATTTGAGAATAATCGCTCCAACAGTTGTTTCCTTCTCACCAAGCTTATTTCTGATAGTCTTGTAGCCCATTCCAGCACTGTGCAGGTCTACAATCTTGTCCCTAAGGTCCTTTGACAGCTCTTTGGTCTTGCCCATGGTGGTGCGGTTTGAATGGAAGATTCTGTGGACAGGTGTCTTTTATATACATAACGAGTTGTCGTTATGAGCACCTTCTTAAAATGACAGGACTAATCTGTGCATCACATAGCCAGTCTGTGGGAGCCAGAATGATTGTTGGTTGGTAGGGGATCAAATACTTATTCTACTCGCTGAACTGCAACTCAATTTATAACATTTGTATCATGTGTTTTTTCTGGATTTTTGGCTGATATTCTGTCTATTATTTAAAATACACCTGTTAGAAATATTATAGACCTTTAATTTCTTTGTAAGTGGGCAAACGTACAAAATCTGCAGGGTATCAAATAATTATTTTCGCCACTGAATTTCTAAATAATCACAACAGATATACTGCAAATCCACTCTGCGTGCACTAAATGGCTTTGCATGCTCAGATATTTTCTATAAAAGTAGTGACGATAACCTATGCAGAAGTTACCGGTCTGTATTACTGTAAACTCCTGCACAGTGATTAAGTGCAGAAGTTGTTTCATGCTCTGCTACTAAGCAGATATGAAAGAGATATACAAATGGTTTGCGGTCATCACCAATAAAAGAAAGGCATGGAAAACAATAGATACATTGTCAAACGTTCTAACACATCCCCACTCTATTACAAAACATGATTTTGTGTCCCCAGTGGTAAGATTTCCTTTCATTACTTGTCCTGATGGAAATGAGAGTAGATCTCCCCAATAGAGACACACAGAGCATTAAAAACCAAATAAAGACTCTAGCCTTTCCTTGGTCTATCCAAAACATAATAAAAAGTTTTGACTGAAGCTGGGTTTCCAGTAGTTCCCAAGATATTGGCCAGTAAAATGACATGCAGGTCTTGACTTTTCGTGTTGAAGTCAAGCTGTGCCACCTACTCAGCCTCAATATTATGGGGTAAGGCGCTAAGCTTAACTTTTAAAGAAAAAAAATTGAGGTTTGCGGATAACTTCAGTTTACGTTACCAAGACTGCTACCAAGTTTACTTTAAAAAATAGTAAAGTTAAATTTCGGAAATGGAAAAAGAAAAGAAAAAGAAGTTTCTACAAAATGTGATTAGCATATAACCTACCCCACAGCCACCAGGTCCTCCTGGTGCGGAGAGCAGGCAAGGCAGAAGATGGTCCTCGGCTCAGGAAAGAACTGCTGCCCGTCATTACGATTACTCCAAAAGCAAACCACTATTCCCTTCTCATCCCCAGTCACCAGCAAGTCCTTCACCAGAGGAGACCAGTGCAGGGCAGAGATTGTGTTCTGGAAGAACAAAAAAAAAAGCACCATGATCATATTGTCTGGTCTCTTCCAACCAGCAGAAAGGGGAAGGGCTTCCAGAAGAAGGGGTGCAAAATCTCTGGGAACATGGGCTGGACTTTTTAGAAGGAACAGCGAGGGGACTTTATCAAAACTGGAGCAGCTGTGCATGGCAATCAATCAGCTTCTCTCTTTCATTTTCAAATCTTAACTGAACAAACTGAAAAGAGAAGCTGACATCTGCTCCAGTTTGGATAAATTCCCCCCAATTTGTTTAATTCCTCATTTCATATCCTTAAACTGTTTTCCAATAGTAAGAGAACTATTAACATATTTCAGACTTCACACACAAAAAGCAAGGTGCTCCGGCCTCCCAGACTGTAGACTCAAAAAACACTGACAAGCTACATTACACGCAATGTATTTCAGCTGGAGTGACGGTATTCCCTACAGATGTTAAATGCTTTCAGTTGCAGGATTAAAAGCAGCCTGGGAGTTCAGAATGATGAGGTTTTTTTACACTGAGGTCTGGCAGCATGATACCTGCACCCAAGTTCCCAGCTCCACCCACCTTCTGTATTACAAGGATGCCACAACTTGATTCCCCAATTACTTCTCTTTACTTGAAGTGCAGAAGGAGGATGAGACCCTATGTTAGGCCTTGTACTGATTATGTTGCGATACCACGATGTTAGCGTTATCTAAGGATGGACAAAAACAGCGCAACCCTGCCCCCAATCTGGATAGCCTGATGCAGTCCTTGGGCTGTTTAGGGCTACCCAAGGTGCCGGGTCATTTTAACACACAGAGGTTTTCAACTTGTCTGAACTAAAATCTTCTGAGAAATCTGCCTTTCTATGGCCACCCTAGTACACTTATTTCAAGAATCGGTACTTAAAAAGATATGCAAGCTGCCAATGCTGGCATCTCCTGAAAATACTAGTCTGGCTGTAGGCTGTAACTTAATTCCAGTGGTAGAAGCAGTCTGAAGATGAAGAAGTTCTGACTTGCCTGGCTGCATGCTTGTTTTGGGTTTGTACCTTGAAAAGAAAGTCAGATTAATCCGGGTCACTAGCATTATCAGAAGGAACTCATCAATGGCAGCCCACAAATGCCATGTTTCCTTTAATAAATAAAATCCACTAAAATTGCGGTACAGTTTTGACAGAAATTTAGCTTCAAGTTGTGCAGTGCAATGTAATCTAAAATGACACCAACTGGAGAGCCATCGATATATATTATGTGTGAACAAAAAGAAAACATCAATCACAACATTCTAGTAATAAATTACAGAAAAAACCCACTGTTTATTGAAGGCTGCTTTGATTCGGGTGCGCATAAAGGAATCCTGTCATTAATAGAAGATCGTAGAGCATTTACATTGTGTGGGAGTAACCCGTCTTACACGGACATAATTCGAAGGCTGTGTGGGTTATATGAAGATGGCCTAATTTTTAGCTTTATACATTATAACTTTACAATAGGCCATGGTTAAAACCGATGTCAGGTATTTTTTGCTGTTTCTCCCATTGGGGAGATTGCCCCTTACTTTCTGTCCTAGAGGCACAACAGAATAGAACTCCTGCAAAGTGAGGAAACGTTGTCTAGTTTGTCATCATTTTCTGTTTGAGTGACAATGGTCACCAGGGCAAAAAGAGAGGGTGAGTCTCCACAGTGGGGACATAAGCAGGAATAAAAATCTCACAGAGGTTGTAGCCCTTCGTTCTCTCTATACAAAACAAAAAAAGAAACCTTTATTGACAATTATTACCCCGATAGACAATTATTACCCTGATAGAAGTAGTCGTTCAGTATCAGATTTTCATGAGCAATAATGAAGAACCTACCCGATGGAGCTTGTGCTCAGTCACAGTGCTCTTTGTGACAGTGTCCCACACTTTCACTGTCCCGTCATCAGAGCTGCTGGCACAGATGTGAGACTGACCAGAGTAGTGGGAGAAGGCAAAGCCAGAGACCCTCTCTGTATGTCCGACCAGCTCCCCTGAGAGAGAAACAAAGAGAGAGAGATAAAAATAGATTCCTTATCCAAAGCAATACAACAATGTGTCCATATAAAAGCTCATTACTCAGACTGGAGAATAGACTCATGGGCTACAGAACAGTTTCTCAACCAATGGTACCGCTATCAGAACTTCTGCCAGATTCAAGAAAGGGGTCTTCTTTTCAAAGGAAATCTAAACAATTAAAGGGGCTGTCATTGATGACTTCTACTTGACCACAGTACTTGCCTGGATGTGCAACTGATCCAATGGCTTCAGTATATTCCAAGTCACAGACTGAGAAACCAGTATGCAGATTACGAGTTCTAAATTTGCTCTTGTGATCTTGTTCCTGTCGGTGTCTCAAAGTACTGAAATGCAGTGACAGCCGAGTAGTATTTGTGAGATGTCACAAGTGGCAGCCTCTGTATATCGTTTTTTTAGGGTTTCCTTTAATACTGCTCTGTATTAATCAATACATGACTAAATGCATTTTATTTTGAATGCAAGCAGTGTAAGTACCTTAATGTGACTTGGTATTAACCTCTTGCAATTCCAT